CAGTCTGCATTCCCACCAGCAGTGCACGAGTGTTCCTTTTTCTCCACATCCTCTCCAGCACTTGTCGTTTGTTGATTTGTTGATAATAGCCAGTCTGACAGGTGTGAGATGGTACCTCATTGTTGTTTTGATTTGCATCTCTCGGATGATTAGTGACTTTGAGCATGTTTTCATATGTCTCTTGGCTTTCTGAATGTCCTCTTTTGAGAGGTGTCTATTTAGATCCTTTGCCCATTTTTTGATTGGATTGTTTATCTTCTTTTTGTTAAGTTGTATGAGTTCCCTATAAATTTTGGAGATTAGGCCCTTATCAGATATGACATTAGCAACTATGTTTTCCCACACAGTGGCCTTTCTTGTTCTCTTTAGTTTCAAGTGCCCTAGGAGCTGTATCAGTGAAGAAATTGCTTTGGCATATGTCTGAGATTTCGTTGCCTTTGGATTCTTCTAGAATTTTTATGGTTTCCCGTCATACATTTAAGCCCTTTATCCATTTTGAGTTTATTCTTGTGTATGGTGTAAGTTGGTGGTCTAGTTTCATTTTCTTGCATATATCTGTCCAATTTTCCCAACACCTTTATTGAAGAGACTATCTTGGCTCCATTGTATATTCTTGCCTCCTTTGTCAAATATTGATTGAGCATAAACAGACTATGTATAACCCTGCCTTACTTCCCTTTTGTTACCAAACTCTTGACTATCTATCCAGTCTGGAAGCTTGATTTTTGGCTTGAAACCCACATGTATGAATAAGGAAAGTGCCAATCACAGAACTGCAGGATTTGACTATCATTTCCTCACGTTCTCTTGAAAATACAGTTTGTTGGTTCTATTTACATTAAAAAAATCAAAGCTTGAAAAATTACATTGATTTATCAAAGCCACAGGAACCTGCATGAATCTAAACACTAATTTACCCTGCAGATTTTACTCAATAAAAATAAAATCCCAGCCACCCAGGAGATGCCTGATGAGGGAGTCATAGAGTACATACTCACCAGCAAAGACGTACTTCTCCCAGTTTGAATACGTGCTGATGGTCTAACTATTCTAAGCAGCCCATTACTAACAATATCCATAAGAACTGGGAAGCAATTCAGTCTCTTGGTATTGCATGCTAATGAAAATGTGTAATTCTGAAATAGAAAACGCAAGGTTATAAATTCTCAGAGATCTTCATTTTTTCCCCTAAAGAATTAAAAATTCAATACTTTAATTAAAAATCATGTTTTAAAAACAGTGTTAAATAATCTGAACAAAAACAAACATTGTGTTAAATAAGCCGAAACATGCATATAGGTGGTATCTGGCTTTCAGGACACCAGATGTCTGACTTACAGTAGAATCAAATATTATTGTTTAAGATTAAAACAGAAGTTTCAGCACATATGTATTAGAAAATCCTTGGGAGGAAATACATACTTTTCGGACTTAAATATGTTCTTTTTTTTAAAATATATTTTATTGATTTTTTTACAGAGAGGAAGGGAGAGAGATAGAGAGCTAGAAACATCGATGAGAGAGAAACATCGATCAGCTGCCTCCTGCACACTCCCTAGTGGAGATGTGCCCACAACCAAGGTACATGCCCTTGACCAGAATTGAACCCGGGACCTTTCAGTCCCCAGGCTGACGCTCTACCCACTGAGCCAAACCGGTTACGGCTTAAATATGTTCTTGACAGTGGGTATTGTATGGTATTTATTTTGCTAATACACACAGTGTGTGGTAGACAGTGACTGATATATGAATTATTTATCATACAAATGACTATGATTAACTAAGTAATGAAAGAAGTACCCCTGTATTTGTTTTTCATTTTGTTTCCTAAATTGAAGGCCGGAGTATATTGATAGTTTATTAGCTTTGCACACCTGTAGGATAATTTCTTAAATGGAGACCAGCATACCTTGTCGTGACCAGACACTATAATGGCTCCATTATAAGATGGATCGTCTATGCCATTTCTATTTCCAGATGCATCCACTTCCAAAGCTATGTTCTGAAGCTCCACGGAATGTATAAAGTCATCAATGCTTGCCCCTAAATTGTAGTTTAATGTATTAGATATCTCAAAACAAAGAAAATCAACGTCAACTAGTGCAGTGAAATGAAAATTAATGACCTTATGCAATATTTACTGTAATATGGACTGTTAGGATATCTTTCCACATAATAACATGCATGCTACTGTGAATTTATAAATCTACTCACTTTGATGGATTTTACTTTATAATATATTTATTCACTATGATCACTGTTATATGGTGCATATGTAATAGATTTTTCTCCAAGAAGATTTCATTGAGTAGCTATAACAATATGGCTTTAATGACATAGATAATCTCTACTAATTAATCACCAAATTGGCTAAGTCTCACTTCACTACCACTAGATTGTTAATTGATTTTCAAAATGTTTCTTGATACAGGAAGACAACTTGTTGAATGGCTATATAAAGAGCTCCATAAACCTTCTCCCCAGAAAAACAACCATAACTTGTAAAAATTACTAAAAATCCCCAAGATGACATTTTTTTATTATCTTAAAGACATACAGAAAATGAAAAAAGAAATTTATTTAAGAAAAATCTACTAAATCTGTATAAGAACACTAAGAAACTGTGACAAAGACCTATACCTTCACAACTCTTTCTTGATCAGCATAACAAAAGCTCCCCTCTGAATGGGTTAGAGAAGGGTTTAGGGGATTCTACCTCCTCAAACCCAGTCTATAGTGTCTTCCAGGGAGGAACTGTGATGAGGATGATTGAGAACCACTCTTCCAGGGAGGAACTGTGATGAGGATGATTGAAAACCACTTCTCCATAAATTAGAGCGTCTCTCTTATGGGTAAGAAGAGAACTCCAGATCTCTCAGCCCCCCATTTCTGGTGGTCTCAAGATCCTGCTACATGAAGCTGGAGGGAATGGGAAAGTTTGGTGGCCTGACCCTCCCAGGAAGATAACTGGAAATCTATTGAAGTTGCATCCCTTCCTCACACCACACACAAAAAGGAACTCAAAATCCATCACAGACTCAAAGTGTAAGAACTAAAAGTATAAGAGCCTTAGAAGAAAATACAGGAGTAAATGTTTATGATCTTGCATTAGGCAAAGCCTACTTAAATATATCATCAAAATCACAGGAAAGGGGAAAAATAAGTTGGACTTCATAAAAACTAAAACATTATGCCTCAAAGGATACCAATAACAAAGTGAAAAGATAATCTACAGGATGAAATAAGATATTTGCAAGACATTTACAGTTGATTCTTATTATTCACAGTAGTTATGTACTTACTTCTATAAAGTCACTAGAAAGTTATCATAAACACTAAATTAGTGAATACTGGGTCAGTGCTTATAGGGAAAACACAGGTTTAGGTCTCTGTAAGCCTCTGCAACCAGTGCATTATTTTATTTTATGTATGTTTCTGTATATTCATTGTTGATTCATTAACCTTGATCTCCCAGCCAACAGCACTATAATGCATGCCTGAACAAAACTAACCTAACACACATATTTTCTTTGTAAGGTACATCACAGCCTTCTTTACTTAGGAATATAAAATAGCACTTCAGCACTACAATTGGGGGTATATTATTTACTTTTTAATAATTTGTTTTTTTTATGTATAGAAATTAGAATCCTCACAAAATGCTAATGCAAATGTAAATTAATGCAGTCACTTTAAAAAATAGTTTGACAATTCCTTAAAAGATAAAATATAATCACTATATAACACAACAATTCTACTCCAGGTTTATATCCGAAAGAAATGAGTAAAATCACATTCACTTAAAAGCTAGTACATGGATGTTTATAGCAGCATTATTCATAATTGCAAATTATTGAAAAAACCAATTAAAATACACCCCTCTGATGAATAATAAAATGTGGTATATCCATTCAATAGAACATTATTCAACAATTTAAAAAATGAAGTATTGACTCATGTTACAACATAGATGAACTTTGAAAACATTCTAAGTGAAAAAAGTCAGTCACAAAAGATCATACATATAGTGTATGGACCTACTCCTATTAAATGTCTAGAGTAGCAAATCCATAGAAATAGAAAATAAATTTGTGATTGATCAGAGCTGGGGGCATAGTGAATAAAAATAATTACTAATGATATGAGATTACTTTTTGAGATGACAATATTCTAAAATGAATTGTATAGAAGATTATATGATTCTGTGAATACACTAACAGCCATTAAACTGTACATTTTAAATGAATAAATATGGCATTTGAATTATATCTTAAGCAATTAAAATGTGTTTTGGGGTATAAACATTTTTATTTTGCAAAATGCCATCAGGTCATTTATTTTTCCTTGACAAATACTTTCTTAATTCCTGCTCTATTTTGGGATTGTCTATTCATCATCCCCAACCTTCATAAATTGTTTTGAACACCTGCTGAAGAAGCAAAAAGCTCGTTTTTTTTCTCTCATGTTTATGTTGTCTAAATGATGCTCTGAACAGTGAATGTATTGGAGAAGAATTATTCACCACATTATTACCTGTATTATTGATTATTAATAATTGAGTGAGAGGATCATGCGGTGGTTGTCCAGGAGCAAGGAAGTATAAATGGGGAGAAAGTTCCCATGTGTAACTGACATCATACGTACTGAAGATGATGTAGTCCCACAGAACAGAAAAAACTCCAATTCCTAGAATCAATAGCCTACACAGAAGAAAATTGCCAGTGTGAATACATAGTCATGTCCTAACCTTTTAAAATGATCTAGGCAGATTCTAATTGAATGAGATAAATAAACTATGAAAACTAAACATATAGCCCTCTGACTCAGTTACTGAGTACCCTGTCCTTTTCCTACCTCTAAGTTAGAGATGATAAATTGTACATTTATCCTTTTGTTCATTTCTCTGGTTCCTCTCTGGCCATGAGCCACCCTGTACACTATCATATGGACGTGTGTCCTTTAACTCTGTGTCTAGATTCTGCCTCTTCCTAGAATTCCAGTGTGGTGTTCATTCACCAACAATTTATACTCAATTTTCTTCATGGCCAATCCTCTTCACTTAGTCCTGTGATGATTGCATGGTTTCTTGAATCTCCAGGCTCAAATTTTCAATTATTTTTTAATCTTTATTTTCCTGTGCTCTCCATTTTAAATAAGTTGAAAATTTTTTATTATATTTCCATGATATCTTATTTTGTAAACTTTCTTCATTTTTAATTTCTAATTTTATGAAATATCCTGTGGCAATTCTTGCTAAAGGAATGGCATCTCTTGAGGCACTATTATATGGTGTTGCCAGATTTAGCTTAAAGATTTTGTTAAATCATGCTCATCTCCTAGTCAAATATTCTCAATGAATTCTCATTACTTATTTATTTAGCAAGTACTTATTGAGATTCTATTATGTGCCAACCCAACTATTTCCTTGATGCTTAATCAATATATTCATAGACAAGGCACATAATTTGATTGATAGCCAAAATCCCATGGACACCAGGGTTCTACTGAGAGGTGACATGATTATTAGGAGCAGCGATGGTGCCCATGATGCACACAGTATGTATGGAGAGTGAGCTACCATCACTTAAGAGGGCTGGAGGGAAGTTAGGACATCTAGGTTAGAGCAAGTAGGACATAATGGGAGAGTCAGGACTGCTAGGGCTATGTCAGTAGCATGACTAGATAACAACTAAAATGAGACATTGGCATATGGACACGGGAAATAAGGTCTACATCCCAATGTTTCTGTCATCTGCCATAGAAAATCTAAAGGAGAGCCAATAGTCTAGCAGGTTTGACTCAGTTAATGGAGAGTCAGTCCACAGACTAAAGGGCCCCGGGTTCCATTCTGGTCAATTGCATGTACCTCGGTTACAAGCTTGATTCCTGGTTGGGGAGAGTGCCGGAGGCAACCAATTGATGTGTCTCTCTCACATTGATGTTTCTCTCCCTCTCTCTGTCTCTCCTACTCCCTTTCATTCTCTCTAAAACCAATAGAAACATATCCTCAGGTGAGGATTGACAAAAACACACACCAAAAAAAAAAAACCCCAAATAAATAAGGGATAGCAAATATTACACAAAAACTTACATTAATTGAACTCTTCCCCTAAAATTGGCTCTAAGATCGTATAAATTCCACTTGCTAGTCAGCTAGTAGATAAAAATTAGGCCTATGAACTAGATTGAGGATTATACTTTATCCAGTTTTGCAGATGCAGACATTTATTTTTGTTTGTTTTTTCTTGTTTTTAGGCCTTAGTATTTTTTAATGCATTGACTGACCAAAAGCTATGGCACTCTAATACTCACAGTGATAAAAGAGATTTTCTATCCTGCTTTAGATTTAATAAGCGGACCCTTGCAATTGCACAGATTTGCTGTCTCCACAGAGCCATGCCACCTAGTCTTTCCTTCATCTCACTTAGTGAAGAGAGAACTTGTTCCATCTCACAAAGTCTTTCTGTGTCTTCAGCTCCTTCTGCGTGTACTTCCCCAGATGTGGCAATACCTGCCAAACACAAAATAAGTAATGCATAAAAAGTCCACTTCAGAGGGGGAGAAAAAATGGCAGAGGTATAGATGGATGTGTCCAGTGCCTTGTCCAGGAGCTGTTAGGGTGAGCAACTGAAGCGGGTAACATACAGCCCAAATAAGCAGAGGATATTCAGCCTAGAGACAGTTTGCAGCCGGGAAAGTTGGAGGAATCCTGGAGAAAGCAGGCGGTGGTTAGACTGCGGCTGAAATCTCTCCCAGAGCGTCGGCTCAACCGCGGAGACCCCGCCATCTTGAGTGGCTGTTTTTTGGAAATGTATACTTTACACCCAAAGACCCGGCATCCAGAGATCAGCTGCTAACCTGGAAACACCGGATCTGGGACAGCATGACTATGTGGAGTCCTGTTTCTCATGGAAAGCAGATCCAAGCAACAGCAGCCTCCTGATCACCACACCCTCTGTCTAAGGAACAGCAGCTGTGTGTGAAGCCTCCACCCACCAGCCAGAAGAGCCACCACAGCTGTAAACAGCACCCACCAGAGGATCTGCTGCCAACTGAGGAGCAGCTGCTACCACAACCGCCCAAGGAGCAACCACAGCCCGAGGAGCCACTGCCACCCAACGAACAGCCACTGAATGACTCAACATCTAGATATGTCAGTGAGATCAAACATGGGTAGGCAAAGAAACCCCCAGAGGAAAGAAAAGGAGGACTCGCCAGAAAAGCAGCTAAGTGATACAGAGGCATGCAACATGACAGAAAAAGAATTCAGATTAAGGGTCCTAGAGTGCATAAACCGGATGGAGGAAAAAAATCAACAACTTATGCAAGAAGCAAGAAGAAACAGATGAAAAAATCAATAACTTATGTAAGAATCAAAAAGAAATGGATGAAAAAATCAATAACTTAGGTAAGAACCAAGAAGAAATGAAGAGTGACATAGCTGCAATAAAAAACACCATTGAAAGATTCAACAGTAGCCGAACCGGTTTGGCTCAGTGGATAGAGCGTCGGCCTGCGGACTCAAGGGTCCCGGGTTCGATTCCGGTCAAGGGCATGTACCTTGGTTGCGGGTACATCCCCAGTAGGGGCGTGCAGGAGGCAGCTGATCGATCTCTCTCATCGATGTTTCTAACTCTCTGTCCCTCTTCTCTGTACAAAATCAATAAAATATATTTTAAAAAAAAAGAAAGAAAAAAAAAGTATCAACAGTAGACTAAGAGAAGCGGAGGACCGAATTAGTGAATTAGAAGACAAGGAAGCAAAACACACCCAAACTGAACTGCAATTGGAGAAAAAAACTAAAAGACAGGAGGAGAGCCTAAGGGAGTTTTGGGACAACATGAAACGAAACAACATACGAATAATAGGGGTGCCAGAAAAACAGAAAGAGGAACAAGGGTTAGAAAACCTATTCAAAGAAATAATATCAGAAAACTTCCCTGAGGTGGGGAAGAAAAGAGCCACACAAGCACAGAGAGTCCCAAACAAGGTGAACCCGAAAAGACCCACACCAAGACACATCATAATTACCATGGCAAATGTTCAGGACAAAGAGAGAATCTTACAGGCTGCAAGAGAGAGACGGAAAGTTACATACAAGGGATCTCCCATTAGATTATCAAATGATTTCTCAACAGAAACACATCAGGCCAGAAAAGAATGGACGGAAATTTACAAAGTGATGCAAAGCAAAGGACTGAACCCAAGAATACTCTATCCAGCAAGGCTATCATTCAAAATTGAAGGGGAAATAAGAAGCTTCACAGACAAAAAAAGGCTAAGGGAGTTTATCACCACCAAGCCAGCAATGCAGGAAATGCTAAAAGCATTGGTGTAAAAAGAAGAAATAAAAAGCTCAGAAAGAAAACAGCCACACACACAAAAAAAAATGGCTACAAACAAGTACCTTTCAATAATAACTTAAAAACGTAAACGGACTAAATGCTCCAACCAAAAGACATCGAGTGGCTGAATGGATAAAAAAACATGACCCATACATTTGCTCTCTATAAGAGACCCTCCTCAGAAGAAGGGACTCACACAGGCTGAAAGTGAAGGGATAGAAAAATATCTTTCAGGCAAATGGAAATGAAAAGAAAGCTAGGGTAGCAATACTTATATCTGACAATATAGACCTCAAAGTGAAGGCCATAACAAGAGATAAGGAAGGCCACTTCATAATACTAGACCACAATACAACAAGAAGATATAACCCTGATAAACATTTATGCACCCAAAGCAGGAGCACCCAAATATATAAAAAAACTCCTGGAAGATATCAAAGGAGGGATCGACAATGATACAATCATAGTAGGGGACTTTAATACACCACTGACATCACTGGATAAATCCTCTAGACAAACAATCAGCAAAGAAACAGCAATCCTAAATGACTCACTAGATCAGATGGACTTGATTGACATCTTCAGAACACTTCACCCCAAAGCCATGGAATATACATTCTACTCAAGTGCTCATGGGTCATATTCAAAAATAGACCACATATTGGGTCACAAACAAAGTCTCCCCAATTTCAAGAAGATTGAAATCATACCAGCCATCTTCTCAGACCACAATGGCATAATATTAGGAATAAACTACAATAAAAACAACCCAAAATACTCAAACACTTGGAAGCTGAATAGCATGTTATTAAATATTGATTGGGTTACCAATGAGATCAAAGAAGAAATTAAAAACATCCTGGAAACTAATGACAGTGAAAACACAACAATCCAAAACCTATGGGACACAATGAAAGCAGTCCTGGGAGGGAAGTTTATAGCTCTACAGGCCTATCTCAAAAAACAAGAAAAAATGGTAGTAAATCATCTAACTCTACATCTCAAAGAATTAGAAAGAGAGCAACAAGAAAATCCCAGAGTGTGCAGAAGGAAGGAGATAATAAAGATTAGAGAAGAAATAAATGACATAGAGACCAAAAACACAATACAGAAAACCAATGAAACCAAGAGCTGGTTCTTTGAAAGGGTAAACAAGACTGATGAACCTCTAGCCAGGCTCACCAAGAAGCAAAGAGAGAGGACCCAAATAAACAAAATCAGAAATGATAGAGATGAAATAACAACAGACCCCACAGAAATACAAATGATTGTTAAAAAATACTATGGACAACTCTACTCCAACAAACTAGACAACCTGGAGGAAATGGACAAAATCCTAGAAAAATACATTTCAAAACTCAATCAGGAAGAATCTAAAAATCTCAATAGGCCAAAAGCTATGGAAGAAATTGAAGCAGTCATCAAAAAGCTTCCAGCAAACAAAAGCCCAGGACCAGACGGCTTCACAGGGGAGTTTTAACAAACCTTCAAGGAAGAACTAAAACCGATCCTCCTCAGACTACTACAAAAAATTCAAGAGGAAGGAACACTTCCAAGCTCATTCTATGAAGCCAGCATCACCCTGATACCAAAACCAGGTAAAGACAACACAATGAAAGAGAATTACAGGCCAATATCTCTCATGAACATAGATGCCAAAATCCTCAACAAAATCTTAGTAAATCAGATCCAGCAGTACATCAGAAAGATCATACACCATGACCAAGTAGGATTTATCCCAGGGATGCAAGGATGGTACAATATCCCCAAATGAATAAACGTGATACATCACATAAACAAATTGAAAGAAAAAAAACACATAGTCATATCAATTGATGCAGAAAATGCATTTGACAAAATCCAACACCCATTTTTGATAAAAACTCTCAGCAAGGTGGGAATAGAAGGATCATACCTCAACATCATAAAAGCCATATATGACAAGCCCACAGCCAACATCATACTCAATGGACAAAAACTAACACCATTTTCCCTAAGAACAGGAACAAGACAAGGATGCCCACTCTCACCACTCCTGTTCAGCATAGTCCTGGAAGTGTTAGCCATTGGAATTAGAGAAGAAGAAGAAATAAAAGGCATCCAAATTGGAAAAGAAGAAGTAAAACTGTCCTTATTTGCAGACGACATGATATTATACATACAAAACCCTAAAGACTCCATCAAAAAACTACTAGACTTAATACATGAATTTGGCAATGTTGCAGGATACAAAATTAACCCCAAGAAATCTAAGGCATTTCTATACACCAATAGTGAACTTACAGAAAGAGAGACTAAGTAAACAATCCCATTTACCATCGCACCAAAAAAAGTAAGATACCTAGGAATCAACTTAACTAAGGAGCTAAAAGACCTCTACTCAGAAAACTACAGGACGTTGAAAAAAGAGATAGAGGAAGACATAAACTGATGGAAGAACATACCGTGTTCATGGATTAGTGGAATCAACATCATTAAAATGTCTGTACTACCCAAAGCAATCTATATATTCAACACACTTCCCATTAAAATACCAATGGCATATTTCACAGATCTAGAACGAACTCTCCAAAAATTCATCTGGAATAAAAAAAGACCCCAAATAGCTGCAGTGATCCTGAGAATGAACAAAGTAGGTGGGATCTCAATACCAGATAGCAAGCTGTATTACAAAGCCACTGTTCCAAAACTGCCTGGTACTGGCACAAGAACAGACATATAGATCAATGGAATAGAATAGAGAGCTCAGAAATCGGCCCGAACCAATATGCTCAATTAATATTTGACAAAGGAGGCAAGAACATACAACGGAGTCAAGATAGTCTCTTCAATAAATGGTGTTGGGAAAATTGGACAGATACGTGCAAAAAAATGAACCTATACCACCAACTTACACCATACACAGAAATAAACTCAAAATGGATAAAGGACTTAAATGTATGACTGGAAACCATAAAAACACAAGAAGAATCCAAAGGCAACAAAATCTCAGACATATGCCAAAGCAATTTCTTCACCGATACAGCTCCTAGGGCATTGGAAACTAAAGAGAAAATAAACAATTGGGACTACATCAAAATAAAAAGCTTCTGCACAGCAAAAAAACCATCAACAAAACAACAAGAAAGCCCACTGCATGGGAAAACATATTTGCCAATGCCATATCTGAGAAGGGCCTAATCTCCAACATTTATAGGGAACTCATACAACTTAACAAAAAGAAGATAAACAATCCAATCAAAAAATGGGCAAAGGATCTAAATAGACACCTTTCAAAAGAGGATATTCAGAAAGCCAAGAGACATATGAAAACATGCTCAAAGTCATTAATCATCTGAGAGATGCAAATCAAAACAACAATGAGGTACCATCTCACACCTGTCAGAATGGCTATCATCAACAAATCAACAAGCGACAAGTGCTGGAGAGGATGTGGAGAAAAAGGACACTCGTGCACTGCTGGTGGGAATGCAGACTGGCACAGTCACTATGGATGACAGTATGGAGTTTCCTCAAAAAACTAAAAAAGGAACACCCATTTGACCCCGTGATCCCACTTCTAGGAATATATCTCAAGAAACCAGAAACACCAATCAGAAAGGATATATGCACCCCTATGTTCATAGCAGCACAATTCACCATAGCTAAGATCTGGAAACAGCCTAAGTGCCCATCAGTAGTTGAATGGATTAGAAAACAGTGGTACATCTACATGATGGAATACTATGCTGCTGTAAAAAAGAAGGAATTCTTACCATTTGCAACAACATGGATGGAACTGGAGAGCATTATGCTAAGTGAAATAAGCCAGTTAATGAAAGAAAAATACCACATGATCTCACTCATTTATGGATAATAAAGACCATTATAAACTTATGAACAAAAATAGATACAGAGGCAGAGCAGCCTCGAACAGACTGTCAAACTATAGCGGGAAGGCTGGGGAGGGGAGGGGGGCTGAAGGGGGAGTAAGAGATCAACTGAAGGACTTGTATGCATGCATATAAGCATAACCAATGGACATAAGACACTGGGGGGTAGGGGAGGCCAAGGGATTGTCAAGGGCGGGGGAAAAAATGAGACATATGTAATACCCTTTGTAATACTTTAAGCAATAGAACAATTTAAAAAAAGCCCACTTCAGATGGACTTTACTGTGCTTACTATAGGCATTTGTTATATTAAGGACATCACAGATAACATCCCCTCATACTGTAGGCACTGGAACAAAAGGACCAGAAAGAAAATCTTAGATGGACACAGACAATATATTAAAGAGGCTAAGATAAGTATGCAAGATCATCATAGTACCTAGGTGTGACTTGGAAACTTGGGAAAGGAAACAATTATCTTAGGTGCTCACCTAGAGAAACAAGTTACAAATTGACATGCTACAAACTAGGGAGTTAACTGTAAATTAAACCTAACTATAGCAACAACCACATTAAAAATAATGGACTAAACATGCCGCTATAAGAAATGTCTCAATAAGCAAAATTCAACTATATGCTGTTTATAAGAAATGCATTTTAAATGGAAAGCATAAACAGGTTAAAAAAAGTTTAAAGTCATAAATTACATTAAAATTAAAGCAATCTATAATAATAAAAGCATAATATGCAAATCGACTAAAAGGCTGAACAGCTGATTGACCGTCCGGATGACCTTCTGGATGACCTTCCGGATGAAGCCAGGGCTGGAGGGCCTACACTTGCATGGATTTCATGCTTCGGGCCTCCAGTTGTATTAATATTAGACAAATTAGGCTTCAGTATAGAGAGAAAGGGAAAGAAAGTATAGTTGAAGAAATAGTGGCTAAAATCTTCCCAAATGTGATGAAAAACTCTAATCTTCATATATAGGAAGCTCAACAAATACCACATATGATAAACAGAAGGAGGTCCACACCTGAAGACATCATAGTTGAATTCTCAAAGCCAAAGACAGAAAGCATCAGGAGAAAAACAACTCATCATACATAGAAATCCTCAATTCAGAAACTATGGAGACCAACAGTCAGCGTGATGTCACATTCAAAGTGCTTGGAGAGAGATTTAGAATAAGTGTTTTGTCTAAAATTGCTCTTGGAAAATGGGATATGATGAGGGCTATGAGCCTTGGGTAGAAGAAAATGGACCGTTTTTAATATCAAGGCAATATTGGCCATGGAGGTAACAAAAGTGACAGTGATGCACTTCACCTTAATATATTCTTGTCCAAAAATGGCCTTAATCATGGAACCCCACATGTAATCATGTTATTGAATCATGTTATTGGAACGGTGTCTGCCTTTTTTTTAGTTTTTTATTTATTGAGTTTTAGAGAGAAGAGGAAGGAGAGAGAGAGAGAGAGAGAGAGAGAGAGAGAGAGAGAGAGAGAGGTGTTGTTCCACTTATTTATGCATTCATTGGTTGATTTTTGTATGTACTCCTGCAATCTTGGTGTATCGAGATGATGATCTAAGCAACTGAGATACTCAGCCAGGGCCTGGAATGGTGTCTTCTTGAACAATATACTAAACCAGGTGTTATGAATACCCTTACATGATCATTTTCATGCATTTTATTTACCTGGTTCATCAACAGTTGATTTTCCTTCTAGTTTCAGGAACACCTCATTCAAGGTTGGCATGGAAACACCATAATTCTCAATTCCCAGGTCAGGACAGAGATCAAGGTTCTCATAAAGTTCTAAAAACACATACACAATAGCAAATCAAAACAAGCATAGTGTATCAATTAGAATATAATATTTCCCACTGTAGATAAGAGTGTGGGGAGCAGCTATAGGGTTAAGCCTCGGACTGACCTGTTGGCAAAGTCACAAACAAGTCCCAGCTTAGAGGGCACAGTCCTCTTACCATAATTAGGCTTGACCTTATGACGCTCCCTAGATCTTATCTGGGAAGCTAATGGGCTGAGGGAAGTGCAGCAAGAACAAGAACAAAAACAAGTGAAACTCACAAGAACAGTGTAACTTTGGTAACCACTACCTTGTTTACCTCTGACTATAAAATAAAGGCTCAGCTTGCCTCTGCATCTCTCTCTGTGGCCTCAGCCAGGCAATGGGAAGATCCACGGAGAATCTGTCTCCATGTAAATCATTCCTCCCGACTCCATCCACACCTTTGGGAACCCCTGGACCACTGGGGCTGGACCCTGGCAGAGTCTAGTTATTCTTATCTCGTGTTTTAAATACCTGAACACATTGTAGTACTATGCTCTTAATAAACGTTAGTTACAGTAATTATCATAGATATTATTTTTATGAATAACATTTATGTATTTCATTTCTTGATATTCTTGTACATTACCTGGAAATTTATTTGTTCTTTCCAAGGGCAATGTATAGACAAGTTTTCCTTCACTTTTCGCTGATAATTTGGCATCAGGGATGTGCTTTGTAACAATGGATGTTATTTTTTCTTGAACACACATTTCATTCAACTGCAAACTGGTGATAAAAAATAGATCCGTGTTATCTAACATTGTCTCCAATTGCATGAAGAAAATTACTTGTCTCTAGGAGACAAAGAAAAATCACATAAAATCTAATGCAAGAAACAGGTCACCCAAACATGAAATAAGAGGTCGAAAAATCAGATTATATATAGTGCCTACCTCCTAAAGTAAAAGATTTAACTACAATAATGTTAAGCATCTTATCTCTGAATCAATCAATAATAACAGAATATGTTACTATCTAAAAATAGTGATAAAATAAAATGAAGAGAATAACAGGAGAGAAAGAACAAGAGAGAAGAGGAAGAGCTAGGGGAAAGAGAAGAAACAAGGAGTCTGCTTGAGACTGTTAAAACCCTGGGTGAGAGATAATGAGGTTGTGAAATACAATGTCAGTTGAGAAAGTTCCCTTAATACATACCTTTCTTACCAAATAATGTGTTGTGGATATATTTTCTATCACATTTATCTAAACTTTTTTGTTATCTTATATTCTCAATTTCTAAAATCTGCCAATCAATAATTCATATACACATACTATATACTCTATATATCTATATCTGTTTCTCTATTCTAATCTCTAAATCTCTATATCTGTCTATACATCTCATTTTTATTTGTGTATATGTGTATATATGTATACATCAACATCTGTATATAATAATCAAAAGTCTCCTTGTGTGCTGTGATGCGTTGCTCTGAGCATCATGTCTTGCTTCAGCCCATTTCTCATTCTCTAGCCTCTTCAAGTGGCCATACCTTAAGTGATACCCAATCCCCCATTTCTTCTTTAGAAACAGACTTGAGCCTGCACACTTCAGCTTCCCTTTGGAGAGAAACACTTTCCTGTCTGAAAGGGAAGAAGCAAAGAAGAAAGTTTGTCAAGAAGTTGACCATTCTTTCCCCCCAAAAGATAGGTCATTGTCTGCGTGATCCAACTCTAATTCAGGAGCTTCTGTATTTTCACATACAGGGCTTCATAAAAACTCACTGAAATAGACACATTTTTTCTTATTTATATACTTTAGACTGTTGTTTTCCCTTCCAGCCAGTCATAGAGGTTTTGCAGATAAATCTTTGAATATAGAGAATCATCACATTATACATTTTAATGGACCAAATATCAAAATTGTTTGAATATTTTAAGTTGATTTCCTTCAATTTTGAGTAAAAGGACCGATGCCTTTGAATATAGACTCTTCCTTCAAAATAATTGAGTTTCCTGGCAGATCATACCTCCATGAAATCAAAGGATACAAAATCCTAGGACATACATAGAAGTGGTTGGGAGTAAGATTCTTGGGCCAGTTCATATCATTGCCAGCTGTTCCAATGGCTGGTTACAGCTGGGAGACCAGGTTACACAATACAGCTGCTGAGCATATAATCCATATTTCTCAAATCTCATGAAGTTTTCATCATGATACTTAAAGGAAACCAGTATCCAGTACTTACCAGCCAGGATATCAGCCTCATCTATGAACTGGGTACTGAACACGATCACACGGTCCATTTTCCGCTCCTTCAGCAAGTTCCACACTTGATGCCTTGAAAAGGGATCCAACCCAGCAGTTGGTTCATCCAATAGGAAAATCTACAGTGGAGGGGTGTATATAAAAGGATCTTTCCAATAAAGTATATAGCTCTTCCAGAAAACACGTTGAAACCATGTTATTTATATTTCAAAGATCATTGTGGTTAGGACTTTGTTCTTATATATAATGTCCCATCATAAATATTTTATCACAGATGTCCTTTTCAAATAAAAGGTTGGAACTACTATGGAAAGTTTTAATTTAAAAAATTTAATCCATCTCTAAATTTCATCTTATTTACCTGAGGATCTCCTAAAATGGCAATCCCAAAAGTGAGTTTTCTTTTCTGTCCACCACTTAAGTTTTGAGCAAGGACGTCTTCAATACTGTCCATTTGCAACTCCAGCACAACTCTTTGTATCTAACCAAATGACAACATTTGTGTCACGTACAAGATTCCTTTCTGTTTTTATTTTTACATTGATAAATACAAAGCAGGAAAGTGTAATGGTTAAAAGCATGCATTCTGAGCCAGAATTGACTAGATTTGAATACCACTCCACATTAACTAGCTGCATAGTCCTGGTCAAGTTACTTGCTCTCTTAAACCTCAGTTTCCACATATGTAAAATGGGAGTAATAATAGCATCTATCTTATAGAGTTGTTATGGGAAATAAATGACTTAGTATATTTAAAGCTAAGGATAATGGTTGGCATATAAATTATACATAAATATTAGATAACCATTTAACTCAGATAAATACCTAAATTAGATTTTCTGTCCAACTTTCATACAATGACTTTGTTCAAAGATAATTTAATGAAAGCATAAAAACTCAGTGCCAATAGACTTAAAGATCTCATTTTGGCCAACATGTTAGTTCTGATATTTTTATGTACCTCTTGTTCCATTTCCTGTGGTGGAATCCCTTTTATCTTAGCAAAGAGTCTGAGATTTTCTCTTACAGTGAGGTAGTCAAATTGCACATTGTACTGTGGGCAAATTCCAGTGAGCTTGCTGATATTTTCTAGGTCAGCCATTTCTGAAAGTTTATTACTATACATGGTGACGGAACCTATAACAAAGATTAAAAGTTAACATCAGATTATACTTAAGATATTTTTCTAAATGAAAAGCCACTATAGAGTTATTTATTACATTTTAGATAATACGGTTTTATCTTCAAGGTTTATACAACTCAGGTATTGTAAACTTCCATTTTAGTTGTGTGGTGTATGGGTTGGGAGAAAGGTCCCTTCTGCAGTTTTTTCCATTAAGATGTAGTCTACTTATTCTCCCCTCATAGTTAGGTGTGGTGCTATGATAAAGGGAATTTTAGCAGATGTGATATAAGCAGGGATTGCGAAGTGCCTCCACCCTGGGGTTGCCCTCTATTTGCTTCTGGAATCATGGGCATCACTGGATGAAGAATTCCTAACTAGCTTCCTGGGGGATGTAGAAAGAGAGGTGCTGTGGTTCTAAATAGAGCCTCACATGTGTGAGTAAGGCTATGCTAAAGCGTCTGGCCCCAGGTATTTTAATCCAGACAGAAAAACCACCAGCCAACCCACAGAGTAATGAGAAATAAGCAAACATTTTTATTTTAAGCTATTGGCTTTGGGAATGCTTGTTGCGCAGCAAAAGCTAACAGATACAAGTTGGAATGTCAAAGGACCAGAAAATAAATAATGAAATAATCAAATTCCATTAAATATTGCATACCTCTATAGAATACTATTAATTAACTTCCGTTTATTTCTGGTAATCTGTGTTTGTGATTAATGATCATAAGAACTTTTTATTAACAGCTGATTTATTTGTCAGCCTGACTTTGGGGGAGAAGAACCCTCTTACCTTTGGTGGGAACAGATAACCCACTAAGAATGTTCAATAGTGTTGATTTTCCAGCTCCACTGTGACCAAGTATTGCAGTGATTTGGCCTTCATATATGTCAAATGCCAGATCTAGGAAGAAAAAAGAAAAGGAAAGAAGGCTGGGAGAAAGGAAGGAAGGAAAAGAGATAGCGAGGTAGGAAAAAAACTACAAATTTATTGTGGAGCTTAAATTTGTCTTTTTATTTCCTTGAATGGCCATGTTTTCTATATATGAATATATTAGGTTGTTAAACTCAAAATAAAAAATATGCTTTTATAAATTTATATGTACATCCTGTTTTAAAAATTTGAAATCACTTGTTTTAAAACCAAGAAACTTCTTCCTAGTATACTCTTAAGTTCATTGATATTGCCTGGTATATGGCAGGTGAATGTTAATATTTATTGACTAAATAATATAAATGATACTTTAATAGTTCAGTAAATTTTTATGTGGATAAAAATACTTTGGTGTATATGACATTTTTGCACAAAATAAAAATAGCAATATCTACAATAGCTTTAAAATTACAGAAGAAAAATTTGAGTTTGTAGAAAACAACCCAGAATAGCCTTAGACTACCTCAGTATGACACAGTATACCTTTCAAAGTCATATATAATTTGAAAACACAATCATTTTTTTCTTTTACATAGTAGAAATAATTGTTAGAAAGGAAATTTTATCATATGACTAAATAACTAATTTCAAATCTGAAATACCACCAGTAATTGTTCACCAAGTGTAAGAAACAAGAATGAAAATCAGAAAATTATTATCAATATAATAATTAAATGTTACCTTTCAAAGCTTTTACTTTATCAGGCTTTCCTTTATATTCTTTTGTAACGTTTCTTATTCTAAAAAAAAAAAAGAAGAAGAAGAAAAAGAGGTTTCAAGTTCTGACGATTTTCTTCAGTTGGTAATTCTATGTTTGGCTGACATGATTTATGAATCTGCCCCCTTCAGGGCATAGAAGAACTGGGAATTTATAGTACCCTTTGGAAATCGTGCTTGCTTGTGCGAATCAGGTAGAGTATTTTTCCTTGGCTGCACATGAAAAAAAAATTTTAATATGTTTTATTGATGTCAGAGAAGAAGAGAGAGGGAGTGAGAGATAGAAACATCAACGATGAGAGAGATTGACTGATTATCTGCTATTGCACCCCACACTCTGGAGACTGAGTACACAACTCAGGCATGTACCCTGACCAGGAATAGAACAATGACCTCCTGGTTCATAGATCAACATTCAACCACAGAGCCACGCAGGCTGGGACACCTGCCAAGTTTTAAAGTTTCCCTATGCTTGGAACACATCACCAGATAATATTATTCCAACGACTGAGATGGAACCTTACATTACTATTGAAAACCAGGATCATCTCTAAACTGAAAAGCCAAAGAAACTAGACCAAGAGGTAACACAGGCATCCATTCCTGAAGGGCTCATTGTGAACTACTGACTCAGGCTGGAGATACCTTTGGTTAATTTGAGTCAAGGTCAGGGTGGAGTAAGGGAGAGAGGCAAAGATCATAACAGTGAGAGCAGTGGGTTTTACAGTCCTACCCACCTGAGCTCACCCCAGCTAGAACATTTAGTAGCTGTTACCTTAGCCAATGTAATATTCTGAGTAAATTTGGATTTTGTAACCTAATAATTTGGAGTGCTTTAGGGCTGTGTTGAAGGATGAGTAAAGTATTTCATCTTGCGTGCATAGTGCTTGGTTCTTGGTAAGTATTCAGTAAACATCAGATGATATTGGTTTATGATGATGACTATGGTAATAGAAAGGAATGGAATTAGTATGTTGGGTGCTATTATAGATCTGGATTCCTAGGCATTTTACCTATTTTATTTTATCAGAAACATATCCATAAACTGCATCAAATTTATGTTTCTTATTTTGTCATGTATTCATCAATCCAGGTTCCATTCATATAGAACTGTTTAGATTTTCTCATTTCTGTTTTAATCCCATTTTACCATCATTCTACATAGTCCTTATAGTTGAGTGAGCTGCTAAAGAGAGAAAAATTAAAATAAACATATGAACACATCAACTATAGTCATTGCTTTGCTCCCAGTTGATCTGCTGGAGGTTAAACCTAGTTTAGGTCACAGGACAAATATAAGTATTGAAGATAAATATGGGACAGATTAAAATGAAAAATTAAATGGTTCTACAAGCTCAGTAGTCTGGAATAATCTGAGACAGGTCATAGAAGACTGACATATATGCTGGACACAGATAGATGAATAAAATTTGAATAGTCAGGGATGTTGAGAAATTTCTTCCTAATTTTTAATTTGAAAATAAAAGTTACTAGCATGGAACAAAGCACATTCTAAAAGGCACTTCTCCCTCAATTCCCTTTGTGACTATCTCTAGGTCTTCTCTTCCTTCCTCTTCCCTACTCTTTCATCTTCTTTGAAAGGGCAATAAATAGAAAAGAGAAGTTTAAAAATTGAGAGGAAAATATAGGAATATAATAAATGAGGTGGGAGCCATGTATGAGTAAATGTGTCCAGGCAAAGAAAAGACTGAGTTGGAGGCTAAGGTTGGAGAAGACAACAGAGAGAAGATTGAGAATCCAGATGAGTGTTTTGTCAAATTATCTTTGTGGGTGAAATCTCAGTTTGTATTTAATGTAAATGTCAATAATATGAGACAAAAAAAGGTAAAGGAATTTTTTTTCAGCTTGAAGTGGGAAGTGATGAATGTAGCATGGAGGAGGTTCGATGGGAGCCACCGATAGGGCACTAGAGAGAACTTGGCTTCTCTCAGGTGTGAACTACTAGCTCCTCATTCTTTGGCCTGTTCTCCATCTGCATCCTTGTTACCTGATGGCTTCTTTCCCATGGAATTCTGGAGACACTGGTTCAAAAGAGTCATTAGATGAAGGATCAGAATATATTTCATCTTCAAGGGCCACATGATCAGCATTACGTTGTCGTGACCAAAATGAGGACTTCAGGAAAAACAAGGGTGAGTATTGGTGTTCATATTCATCTATATGGCCAGGAGACAAATTCTGGGTCAATCACCACGTTAAGGGAGAGAGTCACCCCAATGCAGCATAGCAATGCAACCTTTCTGCCAATAAACTTGAAACATGGTCAACACAAAAAAATACATGTTTGGATATATGTCGCTTCTTAAGGAGAGAAAAGACCACTAAGATGTCTCTCTCTATTATAATTATTTTTCCTCTGGGAAGAACTGAAGCTGTGACTTTAAAAATTCTGGAGGAACTTAAATAAATGTTAAGACTCTTCTTAACCTCAAGAACATCAGATACTGCAAGACAAATGCAAGATAGGTCGGACATGCTGAACTCTATCAACACTGGCAAAGGAGGAAGACTTGAGGACTAACTATTGCATATAAATCAACAAATATTGCAAGAGAAGTTTGATTAGGATTTAATAAAAATAAGTGACAGATTGGGGAGACTGTGGCAAAAGGACACAGAGTGGAATTTCAAAAGCTAATCTGTATTTATGCCTTATCTCAACTCCAAATCTAACATTCCTCTGAAGCAAATTTATGATCTGCATTAAGAATGCATTATCCATGAACCTTTTTCTAGAAATGAATCCACAGTACATTTGCACTTAATTATCACTTCTGTTTTCTGACATGTTAATGGACATTATGAAATGGAAGAATTATTTTTCTCTAATATTCTGCAACTGGCTTCCACTGTAAGATTGATGGGTTTTCAAACTTCTGTGTATTTTTCACATGTTCAGGCATTCATCCACACAATAAATATATTCCGACCACTCCCTACATACCTGTCGTAGGTATATTATTAGTTAGTACCCATCTTTTCCCCTGGATTAGGAAGCCTAGCAAATAAAAGCATGTAGCTTAATTGAATACATTCTGCCATGAGATTTATTAATACATGATTCTATCATTTTATCTAGTTAATTTTCCTTTCTCACATTGATACTTCTTATCTTTAAAAGAATTTCTAACAAAGTCAACTTGTTTAAATTCAGGATTAAACTCAGTCTTTTTTTTTTTTTTGAGAGAGAGAGAGAGAGAGTGGGAGGGGGGAGAGGGAGAGATAGAAACATTGATGGGAGAGAAACATCAATCAGCTGCCTCCTACAGGCCCGCTACTGGGGTTCAAGCCCACAACTCAGCCAAATGCCCTGACAGGGAATCAAACCAGTGACCTCTTGGTTCATGGGTTGACATTCAACCACTGAGCCACACCAGGCTAAATTCAGTCTTAATGAATGGATGGTACAACTCATTCCAACTCTATAATAAATGTATGAGCCAAAAGTGTAGATCCTGACATCTATTTTTCTGGGCTCTTCTAGAAGGCAGAGGTAGTTATTGTTCTTGAGGGATTACCTAAAACAGCACATTTAAGTCACTGCTTCAAGACCTCGCTATGCATCTTCAGTCTCACTCCCTTCCCTTCTTCCCTTCCTACCTGTGTTTACTCACTGGTGTCATTTTTACCCACTCTGTGTGTTTATGCCACTAGTGACTTTCATAATTTTTCCAGCCTTACTGAAATACAATCAACAAATAAAAATTATATATATATTTAAGGTGTTCAATGTGATGTTTTGATAAATAATGAATTTGGGGGTGGAAAGAGAATAGGGGGGAGATAAAGAATGGGGAGGTCAAAAGGGGGTAAAAGGGAGCTATTTGTAATACTTTCAACAATAAAAACTATATTAAAAATAAATAAAGCAGAGAAACCTGAAAAAAATTACCATCATCAAGCTAATTAACATATCCATCACTTCACATGGTTTCTATTTCTCTAAGTGTGTGTGTGTGTGTGTGTGTGTGTGTGTGTATGTGTGTATGTGTGTGTGGTAAGGACACTTGAGATCTATCTTAGCAAATGTCAAGCATACAATACATTATTACTAACTATAGTTACCGTAATGTACATTAGATCTCCAGAACTTCATCTTATAAATAAAAACGTGTACCCCTTAACCAACATCTCTCCTTTCTCCACTCACCCCTGTCCCCAAACCCTGGTAACCAGCATTTGACTCTCTGTTACTGTTAGTTTGACATTTTTTAGATTCCATGTATTTGTCTTTCTGTGTCTGGTTTATTTCACTTAGCATAATGCCCTCTGCGCTCATCCACCCATGTTGCTGTAAATGGCAGCATTTCTTTCTTTTTTTTTTAAGGCTGGATAATATTGCATGGTAGATAGATAGATAGATAGATAGATAGATAGATAGATAGACAGACATACAGACAGCACATTTTCTTTATCTATTCACCCACTGATGAACACTTAGGTTGTTTCCAAATCCATATCTTGGCTACTCTGAATAATATTTCAATGACCATGGGAGTACAGATCTCTTTGAGATAGTGATTTTATTTCCTTTGGATATATACTCAAATATATAAATGGATTAAATGTATAATAAAGGCCCTTGGTGTTCTGTTTTGAATGGGAAATGCAGAGGTGACACAGCCCCTGCCTTTCATTAGAAAAGGAGGAAGGAAAAATGCAGCAGTATTTCAGCTGCAAGTACTTACTAAGTCCCTGGCATGCACCAGGCACTGAGGTGGGTGCTTGGGGTTTATCTGGGAACAAAACAGAGCCCTGCTTTTGTGGCACTCATATTCTTTTGTGTTGCAGGTTGATAAAAATGAGGATTGATCACCTATTGACTTTCCTATTGTGAAACTATGCAGAGGTCTTTTTGAAATAGTGGTGCCCTGGTCCCACCACTGATAAAATGAATTAGAATCTCTGGGAGTTGAGCTGGGCTTAGAAGGTTTTTCAAGTTCCCCAGGTGGTTCTGATGTACAGCCAGGGCTCAGAACCACTGAGCTAAATAGTTAGACAAAGCAGCTATAAATTTCCATGACTAAGTACCTAGCCAGACCCACTTAGGAACTAGCATCTTAACATCTCTTAAAAAAGAAACAAGCCACACACAGAGTAGGGTGAAGTTCAGACAAAGGCTCATCATTCTATAAGCAAAATTTAGGCTTTAGTTCTGACCAGTCAAAACAGCCAGAGAGAAATAAAGAACTGATTTGGTCACTGGCAATAACCTTGTTGACTTCAATGACCTTGATGCACAAGATAGTTCTTTAAATAAAAACCGCACGTGTTAGGAGACTCGTTTTAGGAAATGAAATTATTTAAGTGGTGTTTGATTTTAATCGTATCACTACTCACTTGGCAAAATTTTTTCAAAATAAATCGTCAATGCCAGGTAGAGGAAAATATCAAAAGCCAACATAAAATGTGCTGCTATTGTTTGACTTGAGTAGTTTGAAAAAGCAGGAAATGCATTGGAATTCACATCATTGTCCACACGTAAAAGCTGAAAATTAAAAGGAAATTAATTAAGGGAAATTAGGCTTATCATAAATGTTAAAACAGGTTTAGCATAAAAAATAAAATAACCTACTCTTTGCCCCATATCGGGAATACAAAGTTCAATAAAACTGACTACTCTACTCTCAAATCTATTGGAAAGCATGCGCATGAGAACAACTACAATGCAAGTTTTAAAATATGTTCCCAATGAAATGGGAGTGTTAGGAGGAGGTAGAGGAGTATGGGAAAAGATGGCATTTGAGATCTGCCTTCAATAAATCTTTCCCAAATAGAACATGGAAGGAAGGTGTGGTGTTCTTTGAAAATGTCTCCTGAGAGAGAATTCATGCTCTTGGAAAGATCGCTGGTGTGTTGAAGAAGAACGAGTGGGCTGGTCTATATGTTCAAGATAATGAGTGCTTTATAACAAGCAGTCCTTGTGTTCAGCACTAAATAACGGACCTGTAATGAGTGACATGACCATTAATTGGAAGAATGGCAAAGTAAGTTCAATGAGAGAATCAGATCAAGAGAATTGACATTTTATGAACAGAAATGTAATTTACTAAATGCATTTTTAAGGTGTTTTTAACTTTGACTTTTCTTGAATGGTTTCTACAATCATGCGTGCTGTTCAATTACTAAGTCAAAATATGAACTGGAAGATTTATTTAGTATTAGATTTGTGACATCTTGTCCATATTTAATTAGCTGCCAAAAATAACACTCCAAGAATTATATATTGGCCTTCCATTTTTTCACTCACCTATGGTTTATTTTACTGGACTAAGTGCTGCAAAAGCTTTTAAAACCTCACAAATAGTCTTTATTAGGATTTTATACCATACAATACTGAGCATAGAAATGACTACAGACAGTTAAATTCCAGAGAGGAGACAAACATAGGGTTCATACACAGCAAAATAATAGTTTATTTTTCATTGAAATATAATTTATTTTATTTTATAGTCTCGTGTTCTGAGATTTGAGTTGCTCCTATAACTCAGTGCATAGAGCACTCTAATTGTTGTGTTTAAGGTAATTATTATGCCTAATCTCACTAGGATGCAGTGTGTAGACACTTATCTATGTTTGCATAGCAAATGTAACAAAAATTTCAGATGTCCGTGTTTGATTTTTAATAGAGTAAATAATGTGATACCAAAAACAAAATCCCAGAGAAGAAAGATAGTTCACAAATGCCATTAATAAGTAATTAGATGGCTTCTCACCTGGGTCATTCCGAGCATGAAGGCAAAGGGGCTGAGAAAACCCAATATCCACTCCAAGGATGCAGGAAGATGCCTGTACAAGACCGTGAATCCTAGACTCCCCCAAAAGACAGTGAGAAGGGACATGACCAGGCCAGTGAGGAATGGTTTCTTTATCAAGACGCTCATTAGAAAAGCCAAAGCTATCTACAGGGAGAGAAGACTAGGTTGGTTTATGTTTCTCTATAAATTATTCCTAACAGAATAACATAAGAAATTGAATATATAAAACTAGCATTATATTAATAGTCTATGTATAAAATACAAAAAGATGATCTGAAATTTGCAGTAAAAACTGGCATTACAGGTCAAATACCAGTCTACAGACTTCCATGCAAACAGAGCAGGCAGAGAAGAAGAGGGATATGTAAACAACAACCTATTTGAAAACCAACACTTAATCTTGTCAGATGAGAAAAAGTGTAATTCACCAACTCACCAAAGACAATCCATAGAGGAAAAAGAGAGTGAAGACCACCATGAAGCCAGTCCAAATGACAAATTGGATAGATTTTATAATAAGCACCAATAAAAGGGTAGCGATGAAGATGAAACCAGCATAGAGCAAACCCCAGGAGAGCCTAATGTGGAAACAAAATGTTATTTTAGTATTTCGTGTTCCATTGGAAAGGAACTACGGCGGATTCAAACATACCTGGAAGAGCTCAACTTGTGACATTTTAAATTCCAATTACTCAGCCCCTATATACCATCCTGTTCTGCCAGTTTGCTCCCTCAAGTATATCCATCATACCTGATCTCCAAAAGGGCTTCTGATCCCTGACCTCTTTTTTTCCCCTTTCAGCCTCACCCTGGCTTGCATTCCCCTTCTGGCCTAGGCATTGTCATTTATCACTTCTACCACACTCTTTCCTGTAGACTCAGTGGCCATCCCCCAGGACCCCTGCTTTGCAATCTCCCCAAAAACCCAAACCTGATATTCTCTCTTCTACATGCATATTAACCCCTAACCTCAGCCTCACAAGCATTCCACTAAGGACAATGTATCCCATTCATAGGAAAAAAGGTAGAAAGTCATTACATTTGCATAATGAAGTCCACTTTCCCTAAACTCCTACCTTTATTTATTGGTACACTTGACTCACCAGAATGCTGAATGTCGAAGACCCATCATTGTCATCAAACCCTTCATCCTTTTCCTCTCTCTTGTAACATTAACAGAGGCATAATAAATGAATGGGGAAAAGGAAATAAGGAAGAATAAAAGGTAGATATCCATGGTTGTCCCTCCTTGACTCACGAAGGGATGAATCTTCATATTTTTTCCAGTAACTGACATCAATTCCTCCATCACTGAGTGATTTGTTGTGATCTGAAGAAAGACAGTGACTTGTATATTCATGGATGACAGGCTCCGTTTTCTTTCAATCATCTCTTTTACTATGAACACGTAATGGGTCTGTGTGGAGCTGATGCTAGCCCAACTTTTCACTTCCCTGTTCCGCCACTGGCCTGCTTGGAGCCTCCACTCCAGGCATCCTGAACTGCACACATTTCCCCAAATTTGCTATGTGCTTTATCGCCTCCCTGCCTAACCTTGCCTGATGATTTGCTTGTAATGTCTTTATGGCATTATCTATTCAGCAAACCTCTTCCCTCAAGCTTCAGGGTGAAATGTCATTTCAATGAGGCATTCTGCCAGGGCATCCTAGGCAGAGATGCTTGTGCTCATTTACCTGGAAGGATTTTGTGAACACCTGCATGACAGCCTACTTCTCCTCTTGTAAGAAATTAATTCTATGCCTGGCTTACTGAGAAGGTGTCTTCTCTGAGGAGAAAATTTCTCTTCTATTTATACATATCCTCCATGGCATATGGCATCTCAAGTAAATTTTGTTGTAAAGAAACCGCTGAGTAAATGAAAGAAAAGTCTATCCTATATAATAAAGAGGTTATATGCAAATTGAACCTCACACCCTTGCACAAGATGGCCGCCCCCATGTGGTCAAATATGGCCACCCCCATGTGGTCACAAGAGGCCACCACATGATGGGTGGCAGGGGAGCTTTGCATGGGCCATCAGGCCAACAGGAGAGAGCAGTTAGGGGAAACCAGGTCAGCAGGGAAGGCAGTTGTGGGGGGGACCAGGCCTGCAGGGGAGGGCAGTTAGGGGCAACCATGCCAGCAGGGGAGGGCAGTTAGGGGTGTCTGGGCCAGCAGGGGAAGGCAGTTGAGGATGACAAGGTCAGCAGGGGAGGGCAGTTGGGGGTAATCAGGCCAGCAGGGGAGGGCAGTTAGGGGTGACCCGGCTGGCAGGGGAGGGCAGGATGAGGCGGCCAGGCCAGCAGGGGAGCGCAGTGGGGGGGGGGGGGGGACCAGGCTTGCAGGGGAGGGCAGTTGGGAGCAATCAGGATTGCAGAGGAGGTCAGTTGGGGGCAATCGGGGGTGCAGGGAAGCATTTAGGCATCGATCAGGCTGGCAGGGGCTTGGTTAAGGGGTGTTCAGGCTGGCAGGCACGCAAGTGGTTGGGAGCCAGCAGTCCTGGATTGTAAGAGGGATCTCAGATTGGAGAAGGTGCAGGCTGGGCTGATGGACCCCCCCCCCCCGCATGAATTTCGTGCACCAGGCCTCTAGTTGATTTATATTTTCTTTGATGAAACTTTAAAAAATTGATTTGAGAGAGAGAGACGAAGGCAGAAGGAGAGAGAGAGAGAGAGAAACATTGCCTCCTGTACATTCCAACCAGGGATGGAACCCGCAACCTAGGTATGTGCCCCGACCAGAATCGATCCTGTGACCTTTTGGTGCACAGGACGACACTCCAATCAACTGAGCTGCATGGACCAGAGCTGATGAAACTTTTGATGCTTCTAATACCATTAATCTGCATTGAACACTAGTTTTCATTGGACATTTTTGTACTCACTTCTATAATAGCAGCATTAATGGCAGCTTGAAGAGCCACAAAGCCTTCCTTCCAGGGTGTTGTAATTCCACAGTCAATATCTTCCCGATATGTTTCATAACAATGAGCTTTAAGGGAACAATGTATAACTGTTTTGTTTAAGAAATTATTTTCTATCCCACAGTTATAAAGACATTGTCCTATATTGACTTCTGAAAGGTTTAGAGGCATGTTTTTTTCTCATTTAATTTTTCATCTGGAATTGTCATTTCATGTGAAATAATTTCATTATGTTCTTTATGGAAAGACAATTTTCCTCACACTGACTGACCTGCAATGTCTTCTGAGCCATATGTTAGTTTTTAGGTCTATGTGAAAACTTTCCAGGGCTCTCTCTTCTGCTTCACTGATCTACCTGTCTATTACTATGGTAGCAGCACAGTTTTAATTACTTGTAACTTCATTCTTTTCTAAAGAGCATCTTGGCTATTCTGTGCCCTTTTGAGAGGTATATTCAAGAAAAATATATCAATTTATTTTTAAATATCCATTATGATTTTGATTGAAATACAATACGTTTCTGAAGAAATCTGGGCAGAATTCATATCTGCAATCAATTATAATCATATAATATATGTATACATGCATATATATCTATACATATGTAAATATAAGTATATATATATATAAAACTACAATATAATATAGTATGTTAATGTACCTCAAAATCACTGTACATTTTTGAAATGTGTTCATTGGCCTGTTGACATCACCTTCGCAGATAAAGATTTTAAAATTCACTGCACTAACAGCTATTCACACATATGCCTTATGACATAAATTAAATAGAAAGTAGTGGAATTGTATGGCTAGAAAGTTACCTGTATGGTGTCTGTGTTCCTTCCTTATTGAAACTGGTTTATACCATGAGAATTCCAAATTATATGAGGATATATTAGTAAAGATGACTACTACTACTTCCCTAGGAGAATTTTCCCTTAATTCTTCAATACTTTCTTCATCAGACAGTCCCAAGACGTCTGTCTCTGCCATTATAAGAAAAAAATATAATTAACTAGAGACCCAGTGAATGAAATTCATGCAAGAGTAGGCCTTTCTTCACCCGGCTGCTAGCATGTGCTTCCCTCTTGCACCCAGGACCTGGACTTCTCTCTGGCTAGCTGCAGGCACTGGGGACCTGGGCTTCCCTTGGAGCCCCGGTTTCGTCTGGAAGGTCAGCCGGAAGGACGTCTGGTCTAATTAGCATATTACACTTTTGTTATTACAGATAATATTAGGAGACTAACTTCAGGTTTCACATTCAATTACTTTTACTAAAGTTCTTTATGGAAATAAAATTAAATCAAATATCAATTTGGAGTAAGTCAGGCACAAAGTTGGGTACAGACATTTCTACTTAAAAATATATTTTTTATTGATTTCAGAGAGGAAGGGAGAGGGAGAGAGAAAAAAACATCAATGATGAGAGAGAATCATGGATCAGCTGCCTCCTTCATGTCTCACACTGGAGATTGAACCCACAACCCGGGCATGTGCCCTGACCTGGGAGGCGAACTGTGACCTCCTGCTTCATAGGTTGATGCTCAACCACTGAGCCATGCTGGCTCATGGGACAGACATTTCTATAATTTTATCCAGAGAGTGTATAATCAGAAGACATACATAAAAATTATTTTCATATGTTGGAATTATTGAACCAGTTTTAATTATGTATAATATACCATATTAATTAAACCACTCACAGAAGAATGAGCATTACAATAAATCTAGAATTAGCATTACAATAAATCTAAAATTTTATATATGTATATGACAATTAGGTACTGGTTTATATCAGGTGGAAATAACTATGCAACTTCATTTTTCTTGAGCAATCCTCATAGTATGGTTAATATGCTGAAAAAAAGAGTTAAAACAAAAACTATATGAGTGCTTATGTTGATATCACTAAAATAATCTTTTTTGCTAAAATTGTGTTCAATGCCATATAGATGCTTCAGTAAGACTGAAAAATGAGAAGAAATGGAAGAAAAGTTCTGGATTGGGGTGGGAATGTCAAAGATCAAAGTGGAGGTAGCATGTATTTTGATAGAATTAACATTGTTCCCCCTGGGATAATATTTTTCATTAAATGTGTTATAATCATGAGTAAGTCCCTTAACATTTTTCAATCAACTTCCATATTTGTAAAATAAACTTAATATCAATTATTATTAGTACAGAATATTAGACATAGTACAGATAAATATAATAAAGAATAATACCATTAATATTACAGAATAATATTCTATTATTATAGAATAAAGTGTAAAAATCTAGCACATAGTAGCATTTCATGAATATTTATTATCATTATTGTAAATGACCTTATTGTAAAATAAAGATAATAACACATTCATTGTGAAGACAAACTCCATGTAAAGATCTAGCACACAATAGTCATTTAATGAATATTTATTATTGCAATTGCCTGTGACTTTTAACAAAGGTGTTGTTGAGAAGCACATGTTCATGTCATTGGGACCCCTAGGAGGACACTGTGAAACAGGGTAGGAACTAACCCATCTCAGAGTAGACAGGAAGAGTAGGCCTCAGTTTGTCAGGCAGATCAAGTTAAGATCTTGAATCAAAAGCAGATTCAGTGTTTGCAGGCAAGATGCACAGTGTAGACATTCAGATTCAAGTGGAACTAATGGTGTGATGTTCCATGCGGTACCATGGGAAAGCTAGGGAGGTCTACACACACCCTCCTGGCCTGTGTGCAGGGAAGCAAGGACAGGAAAGAAAAGTCTACATAATCTGGGATGTGCAGTCATGAATACAGACTGCAGAGCGGGTGGACTTCTGGATAACGAGTTCAGATACGGAGTCAGAATCCAAACACAAAATGAATGGTTACTGGGGCCAGAGTGGAATTATGCACAGATGCTGACAAAAAGAAGAGACATTAATTCTATAACTTCCAGTGACTGGGTGGAGCAAGTCAGGTTGCCTCCTATCTAATAAAAGACAAACAGGGTAATTGACTGTACCTTCACTCTGCTTCCCATTGGCTAATCAGGGCGATATGCAAATTAACTGCCAAGAAAGATGGCGGTTAATTTGCATTTCTAGGTGCAATGATGGGAGGCGAAAGGGGAAGGACCGAGGAACGATGATGGGAAACACAGGTGGCAGGCAAGAGACTGCCCTGGTGGCCGCCTTTGCCCTGCCCCCTGGCTCTGGATCAGAGAACCAGGGCACCTTTGCCTGTCCCCAGCCGGTGACCACAATCGGAAAGCTGAGCACCAAGCAAGGCGGCACCCCCGGGACCCAGAAGCCACCTTGCCTGTGGCCTGTGATCCTGATAGGGAAGGCTTGGAGGCAGCTCCAGCTGGGCAAAGGCTTGGAGGCAGCTCTGGCCGAAACAGACACAGACACAGACACAGACACGGACACAGACACGGACAGGGGGCTGGCCTGCAGCCTCCACAGCTGAGCGCAGGCCCAGAGAGGAGATGGCGGGCCTGCCTCCCACAGAAGCAGTGCTAGTCCCTTCCGCCTCCCACGGAATCTGCAGGAGTCCCTCCATGCTCCAGCAGAAGTGACTTGACTCCCTCCCACCTCCCATGGAATCAGCGCAGCTCCCTCCTGCCTCTGGTGGAAGCTTCGCAGCTCCTGGCGGTGCACTGCAGTTCCTGCCAGCTCCCGTGGAAGCAGTGGGCAGCCTACTGCGCAATATTGCGCAATGGGCAACTAGTTTATAATAATAAACTGTTGGTAGAGAATTATGGTGCCTGAAATTAATACTGAGTCCCTCCCAAGTCATGTTTTTCTATTCTTTTTTTAAAAAATTTGAGATTTAGTTTCATAAAAGTCATCCTTTTAAACTGTGCAATTTCATGATTTCCAGGATAGTCACAAAGTTGTGCAAGCAGTAAGCCACTGTCAAATTATAACTCAATTCACATTTATGGGGCAATCACCATAGACTCCCCTTTGAAGTGTGCGTTTCTATTTGTAAAAAAATAAAACAGCTGCTTTAATTACCTGACATCCAGTCCTCATTCTAATAAACACCTTAACATTTATCTATGATACTGCCCTTCTTCAATTCACACATCCTGTGGTTTGGATGTGGTTCACAGGGGGATCTGGAAACCCATCCGATGGACAATGACAATACTTTTCTCTCCCTATCCAATGAAATTAGTTCCTGATGGACCAAGATCCAGACTAATCTGAAGAAGACCATTGTTTCATGAGTATAATTTCCAAAATTATTTAGAACTGTTGGGAAAGATCTGTTTATGCGGTAGGGCTAACACGGGAGATTCTGAAGACTAACTCTGCGTCTTTTGGGGGGATTTTGGGGGGAGCCTACCTGTGAATGAAGGCAGCACACATTGCTATTGACCAGAGAAGTAGACACATATTTCTCCCTCTGCTGTTGACACTCACTTATCCAGCTGTGCTTTGATACTCTTTTTCCTTAAGCGGCACAAAAGATGCCCCTTTTCCTTACCACAAGATGAATTGGAAGTCCCTCATTCTCAACTGGAATATTCATGAAAAATATAATACTGTTAACTCTATTTTAAATATGGTGGTGAGACTCAGAGAAGTTGATGACTTGTAAAACGTTCTATAGACATAACACAGAACTACTTTCGTCAAATGCTCTCTGACTCTATGTCCAGTTCTCTTGCCTCTGCTCTAGGCTGCTTCTCCTCAAATTTCAGGAAATTATTGCAGACACGGTCTTGACAGTAAGAATGCTCATCTTATTTTTCATTGATAAGTACCTCACCATAAAAGGGTGAACAACTGAAAGGCAGAATACTCTTCAACAGAATCTTCAAATATAGTTAGATAATCATTTTGGTATTGAAAGGTGAGAATAATATTCCTATAATCAAATTTAAGAGGAGAAAAGACTAGTTGTTTTTTGGATATACTAATAAGCAAATACTAGAGCAATTGTCTCATTCCAGTAACAAAGCTTCCACAGCTACAAGTCAACAAATCGCTAAACACTCCTCCTTTTCAACATCTACCCATTTGTGTATCCCATGCTTCCCCAAAACCTACACAACATCAGCCGATTTCTTTGTTGAAAGACTGCACACTGCAAGTGGTAATCCCTTGCTTGGCAAGAAATACATTCATAGTTTTGACTTAGATATGGCCTCTTATGCTCTGGAAAGGGAAAATACATTCACATCTCTCATTACCTAGAAATGGTGACAACTGATATAGTTATGAACAAAAATACAAATTAAATGCACACACCTGCAGTCAAATGAACCAACTATTGACATTAGAAATCCCTCTTAGATTTCTAGAAAACTCACCATTTATCAAGGAGGCCAAGGCAACTTTTTTCATTATCTGTTGGGTTATATTGGTGAGAGGTATGTATGCAATTGTATATGTAGATAGGTTAAATGAATCTACCCGTCCCAGGTCCATGGTAGGCAGTGAAGAAAAATCAGTGGCTTCATGACTAATAGGATGTATATACCAAGAAAGCAGTAGGAGCAATAAGCTCAACCATTCCTACACAATGCAAAGGAAAAAGAAAGAAAATTATGATCTCAAATAAGCCACCCACAATCATTGGGTCATACAGTTTGTCTTATTCACTTATCTCATTTCAATATAGCACACATTCTGAACCATTTTCAATATGGACAGTACAAATTTTAGCAGTATCAGTAATAAATGAGCTATTACTAGGAGTTTATTTGTTTTGTTTGTGTATTTTATTGTTGTTGTTAATCCTCACCCAAGGACATTTTTCCATTGATTTTTAGGGAGAGTGGAAGAGAGAGGGAAAGACAGAGAGAAACACTGATGTGAGAGAAACACATTAATTGGTTGCCTCCTGCCTGAGCTCTACAGGGCCCAGGCCGGGGAGGAACCTGCAGCCAAGCTCTGTGCCCTTGACAGGATTGAACCCGGGACACTTTTGTCCTCAGGCGATACTCTACCCACTGAGCCAAACCAGCTAGGGCTTACTAGGAATTTAAATGTTTTGATCCACAACGCCAGTGTAATGCATGCACGGATCATGCCAATATGAGAGGCAAAAGTGGCAAGCTATTGTAAGTTATCAGCTGATAGTACTGTGGTGATCTACTCATGCTGTGCAGGCAGATCTCATTTTATTGCGCTCTGCTTTACTGCACTTCACAGATGGTGCATTTTTCCAAGTTGATGGCAAGACTTTCCACCAGCAGAAAGATTACCAAGAGCTTTATTGCGATCCTCACTTTATTACGGAGGCCTGCAACTGAACCCGCATACTTCCGAAGTATGCCTGTATTTGCTTCTGCTGAAAGTATATGTGTTATAAGAGACAGTTGTAAGGCATTGCACAATTAATGGTAATGTATTGGTTACATGCCAAGATTCTAGTATTGGAAACTCAAGAGCCTGTTGGCAACCTGAGAAACACTATCTTGTTAGTTATCAATACTAGTCACTTAACCACTACCAACAAGAAATCACTCTATTCCCTAAAGGCATGATTGTAGAAAAAATTTCACAATAGATATACAGTAAAATCCCTCCTTAGTGAAAAGTGCTACTTAGCTAAGACTATCTGATTTTCTTTTTTTAAATATCAAAGTTTACCCAGAATCTTTGTTATATGGTAAAATTATAAGTTCTAATACTAATTTTCTTCTTGGCACTGATCACATTTCCAAATTATCCACTAATTTTGAAGATAATGATTTTTTTTTAAATATAAAAGTGTCAATTACTATTTCTGTGGGTTGATTTGTTTACTACATCTTCAGAATACCAGTATCCTAACCCAAGGATCTATGCGTGGGAACACTGGTAAAAAGTGTGACCATTGCCCAGCTATTTTGGCTCAGTGGTTCAGCATCGGGCTATGAACCAGGAGTTCACAGGGTTGATTCCTGGTCAGCACACGTGCCTGGTTTGCAGGCTTGATCCTCAGTGGGGGGGCGCAAAAGAGGCAGCCAATCAATGATTTGCTCTCATCATTGATGTTTCTATCTTTCTCTCTCTTTCCCTTCCTCTCTGAATAAAAAATATACTTTTTTTAAAAAGTGTGGCTATTGACTTCTAAAACATTGATTGGGTTCTCCGGTGTTGACCAACTTCAGTGCCTTCAGACCTCAAATGATGAGCATGTGTAATCAAATTAACTTGAGAAAAATTTCTTCTATTGTATAAAGGTGTTGTTTTTTGCTCTTTTTTTTCAGGGTGAGAAATAAACAATCAGAGTTACCTCTCAAGGAATGGACATTTTTCAATCATAAAGAAAGAAGAGAAACAGATATTGAATCATACCATTAAGGACTCCCTTTTCATTCTCCATTTTCTAAGCAAATTCTTGCATAATAAGGCCCAAGTTTGTTGACACACACTTCTCTCTCTCTTACTCATGTTGCCCTGTTTCATAAGAAAAGAAAAGAAAAGGGGAGACGGTAAAGCATATATGAAGGTCTTAATGGGAAAAAAAATCCTGCAAACACACAAACGAGCAGCCTGAGAACTCCAGTGTTCTGAATCTGAGTGCCTAGTACCTGAGTGTTCCAAAGTTAGCATTTTATTACTGGACCTGCTCCCCTCTGCCCCCATCTTTCTCACAAATAAGTTCTTGTTTTGGAGGATCTTTCATTGTGTTTGATACTCATGTTAAACCTGGTTTTTCTTTGCCTCTAGTTTTTTCCACATTCTTACCTTCTGCTAATTTTTATCAACCTTTCATTCTCCTCTCCATGTTTTCCCTCTTATCCTAAAGATATCATGGTTACTCTTTAAAAAAATGAAAACGTTTGAAGCTTTAAAGAATTATTTATTTACTTTTGTTGTTGTTTATTCAGGAAGGTTATTTTGTATTTTAGTTGTAATTCCAGATTTGCCTATACATTGTATAGGTTCCTATGGGGAGGCTGTCATGCATTTGAGCTTGGGCTCCAGATGGAGGTAGAAATTCGACCCGACTGTGCTCAGACAGGCGTTAGCTGGGTGCAAAACCCAGAACCCTCTGACTTGTGTGGAGGTCAGCTTATTGTGAAAACATTCCAGGGACTCTGCCCAAAATTGTCTGCAGAGAGCAGCGTTATGCTTCTGTAGATATTGCACCAGGACTACACAGTAGACCACAGCCCTCCTCCAAGTAAAAGTAGCAAGTCACAGATTTAGCATATGCAACCTTGAGCATAGGAGAGAGAGGAGAGAGCGTGTTGGAGTTGTGGTAGTGAGGATTATTAGGTAGGGGAATTTATACATAGTTTTTGTTGAGTTTTTTTCAGCAAGGACCTGGAATACCTCCCAGAAGGAGGTGCCTCAATGCCTAACAACTGCGCCACATCTTCCCATTGCCTAATAACCAATATCACACAACACGTCCTGCTGAGCCTGCCCTGAACACCGTGGGACGGGAATGCTCGCAAAGCTCACTGCAGGAGCAAACTGTGCATCTGAGCTGATCTCTAGGAAGTAAGGGGATTCTGGGACAATCCCTAGTTTTCTGGGAAGCATGCCCAGTGACTCGGAAGACTAGGTCAGGACTTTTGAGCACAGAGCAGCATCTCCACCCTGAATGTGGCTTTTCAGTCCTGAACCTGGCGCAAGTAGTCTGCTCCCTCTATGTGTACACAACATTGGCCAGGGATAGAGAGCAGGCCGTTGTCATGGACTCCTCCACCGTGATAACGAGTGGGTGAGTGTGCCCCTGCCTGGAGCTCTCATTCCATTCGTCGAAGAAGATGCCAACAGGGCTGTGCTATTTCCTGGAGACAAAACTGGAGAAATGGGTCTGGAAGCCAGTTCCAACGCCAGGCTTATTACCCAAGGCAGGCTCAGAGGGCATTGCTGGAGGAAGAACCTACACGTGGATGTTTCGTGAGTCCGAGAGGCAAGGGAGGAGAGGACTGAGTGAAGAGGCTGGAGAGCCCTTGGAGAGGCAGGCGGAGGGAGGAAGAGATTCTTAGAAAAAAGCATTAGGTGAGGGTGTCCAGTAAGAGGGGCTCAGGATCCCCATAGATGGTTCTAGTGCCAAGAATTCAGAGTGACCACTTAAAAAAAATTCTCACCCCCACTGATGTAAGAGAGACACATTGACTGGTTGCCTTCCATATTCTCCCCGACCCCACCCCACCCCCCAAATGGGGCTGAGGATTGAACTTGCAACTCAGGTATGTGCCCTTGACTGGGAAGCAAACCTTTGACCCTTTGGTCTGAGGGTTGATGCTCTAATCAATGAGCAAAACCACCCAGGGCCAAAATAATCACTTTTAAAGCAATTGTGCAGGGCTGTGCAGGTGGGTAAACAGGCCAAGAGGGCAAACTCCTAACTGTGAAAATGTCAGGGTGACTCCAACCCCTTAGCCTTTCCATTGTAAATGAGCATCGCCTACTGTATTTTCCCTGAGCTTACGTATGTTCTGTAGTTTATCCAAAGACTAACAACCATGTGAATTCCTTTTTATACAAGCAGTAGGCAGTTTCAAAGGGTACCAACTCTGATCCTCCCCCTGTCCTATGGTTGTTGCATTCAGAACAAAATGTTTACACCGCAGGCGTGTGAAAGCTCTGTGTCCTGCAAAGCAAACGATTGTTGGGATGAGGAAAAGCTGCACATTTCACATTTGGACCCAATACGTGGTGTGCACAGAGCAGAAAACCCTGGAAGGCAGCTTTCATTTCTAAAATTCTTAGAGCCCAAGCGTGAGAGGCAGGAACAATAGACATGCAAGGGTGCGAAAGGCAGGTTCACAGTCTATCGTATGGAAAATGAGACAGTAATTAGCAAATAATTATAACACAAGAATAAACGCTGTGCTTCATATACTCACAATAGTCAAACTGTTTTTACCCACTCTTGTGTTTCTGTAAATATTTTTCATAAACAGACTCAAAATCAGAAAAAGAAGTTTATCACAATGCCCCCAAGTTATTGTGCAATAAAAGTGAAGACCTTCAAAGACAATCTAGGTTTACAAATGAATTCTCAGTATTCTTAGTTCTCCACAATCTCTGAACAGATTTCAGCTTATTCCTACATTCAGTTTCTGGCTCGAAACCACATAACAGGTGCAAAACTTTTTTAAAAAAATATATCTTTTGACTCAGTTTTACAATTTTACAATTTTCATTTTTATAATTTTAAGTACCAGATGTCCAAACACATCCAAATAGTCCATTCATTTTCAAAATAGTTTCTCTACAGGTAGTTGGCTTTCAATTCCTAAAGACTTATTTATAATTTTGTGATAGAAAAAAACACACACACCTTCAAACAAAACAGAAAAAGACCATGAACTTACCTTTGAAACGTGAAGCACCTAATCTAGGAACACATTTTACCCAGTGCTCTCCTTTTATAGAAGGAAGCAAGTCACATTGTCTCCTGAACTCGGCCGCATCTATAGATTTTTCTTTAACTGTTTGGCTTCCGGAAAAAGTTCCTGGGGAGACTAATTCCACAAGAGGCTATGATCTGTGTGTGTGTGTGTGTGTGTGTGTGTGTGTGTGTGTGTTTGTAAAATTGAGTAATTATATTTTGTGTGTGTGTGTGTTTGTAAAATTGAGTAATTATATTTTATCTTCATTCTCAGTGTTTCAGTTGAGTTAACAGAAGCATGAGAGTTTCAGAATAAATTTATTTTTTTACCAAGTAGCAGACCCAAGAAAAAGTTAAAAACTTTAAAAAAAGTTTTAATCCTACTTAAAAATCAATACTATCTCAAGGGTAACAATTTTTCTGTAACTACATTAGAACCTGCCTCAGTCTTTGATAGCAATCTCCTGCCTCAGTCTTTGATAGCAATCTCCTTAGATAATTCTAATTGCACAATAACATGCCTTTGTTCCTCTCTCCATAACGTCTCATATTTGATCTCTAATCAGGATCTACTGAAGGCTTCTGAATAAAAACAAAAATGCAGCAAATTACTTAGCTTAATCTGCAGTCACTTTGAGATGGAGATGGCACCATGGAAACAATGAACTAAAAACCAGATAAACTATTTCAGACTTCCACGGAGATTGAAGGGAGTCATCTTTTCTGTAGTTAAGACTTTATATTTGTTCCTGGCCAGAATGGTTCAGTTGGTTGAGCATCATCTTGTGCACCAAAATGTTACTGGTTCCATTCCTGGTCAGGCAAATACCTAGGTTTCAGGATCAATCCCTGCTTGGGACCTGTATGGGAGGAAACTGATCAATGTTTTTCTCTCTCACTCTCTCTCCCTCCCTCCCTCATCAATACATGTATCCTTGGGTAAGGATTAAAAAAAAAGGCAGCTGGGTCTTATAGTTGAATCAGAGGACCAAAAGTCAATAGTCTCCTTTTTTCTTTTTATTTTCAGTGTATTCAGGCACTACTCTTTGTAGTCCCCAGGTGATTGTTTAACTCCAAAGCATTTCCTTGTGTTTTATTATTTTAAAAAATATATTTTTTATTGATTTCAGAGAGGAAGGCAGTAAGAGAGAGGGTTAGAAACATCAATGATTTCCCATACTGAGGATCGAGCCCACAACCCAGGCATGTGCTCTGTCCAGGAATGGAATCATGACCTCCTGGTTCATAGGTTGACACTCAACCACTGAGCCACACCAGTCTGGCCATTTCCTTGTGTTTTAAAGGGAGCTCGTTAGGTGGTATTGCACAGCAACTGTCCAACAACTGTAAGGCGAAAGACTAGAAGTTTGGGAAAGAAAATGAGAGTGCACCATATTCTATGGAAAGTTGAGCCCACACCTAACTTGCCAATTAGAAAATCCATTGAACTCAGTGAAGATGAACTTAATCTTGCACAGTGAGGGTTGGCTCTTGGAGTTGGTGTTTTGAGTGAGGGTGTGGGTGGATGAAGCCCTTTGGTTTAGTTGCAGAGGATTTCTTCCAACCTAAGCAGATTGTGGAAATAGGAAGGTCTCCACCCATGCTGCAAATTATCTGTCTATCCATTCATTTCCTCCAGAACATCTTGTCTTAAATGTGAGTCATTCGGTCACTGACTTACAGGGTAAGATCTATCTAGATGCCCAGCTGGTGTGGTTAAGTGTCGACTCATCAACCAGGACAGGGCACATGCCTGGGTTGCGGGCTCGATCCCCTGTAGGGGTCATGCAGGTGGCAGCCAATCAATTATTCTCATTGATGTTTCTAGCCCTCCTTCCCTCCTCCTTCTTCTCTCTGAAATCAATATTCTATGTGTAATATTATACTGGCATGTATACTCTGTATCACATTATAAAGAGCAACCTGATAGAGGAAATCCAATATGCATAAGCTTTCCTCTATTATGGCCAAGATGATTGTGGCTCACACCAAAATTTTTAAGCACTGTCTTCAAACCATGAGAAAAGAAACAGTTTCATCAGAGGGAAGCTCCTCTCTACACAAAACTCTCGACTGCCCAATTGATAATCTCACTTGGGAAATCAAGATTTTCACTCCTCTCTTTCTCATTTACATTCAGTTCCAAGTATTTTCTAATCCCCCTCAAGACTTACTCTTTGAGCCATGAATTATTTAGCAATGTGTTGTTTCCTTTCCAAGTCTCTGACGATTTTATGTTATCTTTGGGTTATTGATTTCTAGTTCAAATCTATTATAGTCAGAAAATTTATTTTTTATGTCAAATTGATTAGAACCTGCCTTATAATCCAAGATGTCATCTGGCTGGGTGAATATTCCAAATGCAAGGAGGTATATTCTGCTATTGAGTGCAGTGTTATATAAATGTCATAAAATCTAGTTAGTTGCTAAGTTTTTCTGTTTGTTTTTTGTTGTTGTTGGTTTTTCTGTCTACTGGTTCTATTGATTACTGGAAGAAGAGTAGTGAAGATTTTACCAATAATTAGAGACTTTGTTTTTCTTTTCAGATCTAACAGATTCTGCCTCATGTAATTGGAAATTGTGGTATTGGGTGCATACACGTTTAGGATGGTTGTTTCTTCTTGGCCTTTTTATTGTTATGTAATGCCCATCTTTATCCCTGGTAACTTTCTATGCTCCAAAGTCTACTTCGTCTGGTGTGAATATGTCATTCCCATTATCTCTGACCAGCTAACCAGATGACTTCTCTATCATTTCAATATTCTTTACTCTAATGAAATTAACCAGAAGATGATTCATGTGCATTGAGCCTTTGTTTTCTCATGCATAAATGATCCTATATAATAAAAAGCTAATATGCAAATTGACCAAACAGCGGAACGATAGTCGCTATGACGCACACTGACCACCAGGGGGGCAGATGCTCAATGCAGGAGCTGCTCCTTGGTGGTCAGTGTGCTCCCACAAGGGGAGGCTCACTTGGCCAGAAAATGGGCTCACGGCTGGTGAGCGCAGTGGTGGTTACGGGAGCCTCTCCCACCTCTGCAGTAGTTCTAAGGATTTCCGACTGATGACTTAGGCCTGCTCCTTGGGAAGCAGGCCTAAGCCATCCATTAGATATCCCCCGAGGGCTCCCTGACTGCAAGAGGGTGCAGGTCGGGCTGAGTGACCCCTCCCCCCCCCAGATTGCATGAATTTCATGCACCGAGCCTCTAGTTTACACATAATTGAGCCACTCAGTTCATTGTACTGTGCCCTTTTGCAAATATTCATAAACCTATGAACTTCAAACAGAAATTGGCTAGTGCATCTGATTTGGGGTATATGTAGCAGACTATGTCAGATCAATGTTTCTACCACAACAATTATAAGAAAGCCAGGTATGCTCCTAGTCAAGGCACATGCCTAGTTCGCAGGATCGATGTAGGGGTCATGCAGGAGGAAGCCAATTGATGTTTCTTTCTCTCCTCATCAAGAAAGTCTCTCTCTCTCCCTTTCCCTTCCTCTCACTCTAAAATCAATAAAAACATATATATTTTTTAAAATGTATTGTAACAGGTGTCTGTCTGAGGAGAATAATTTAAGAAAAACTGCTTTGCCATCTGTTCACTCCGGCCCAATTTCCCATATGTAAATTACCCTGTAATATGTCCTGTTATAGTCTATGGAGTTGCCTACTTACCTTCAGTCTGTACTTACCTTCTCTTACGGTGGCCATTACCCCTTTGCCCCACCCTCACACATGCCTGCTTTATGGTTGAACCTTTTCCCTGCTTTGAAAATTCTCATTCAGACTGCTTTCTGGAGGGAGGTTGTGGCTGCAATTCTCTTGGCTGGAGAACACCGAATCCAAAATTAGCTTCAAACTCTGATTAGATTGCCTGAGTCAAGAAGTCAATCCAAAGGTGCAGAAAACCCGAGTGGAGAAAATGCTTTTCAATGACTAAGCTCTTCATTTTTTTACTATTTAATAGTGAGATTCCACACCCACACCCCCCCCACCCCCGGAACCCACTCTCTCCTTCTTTTTTTGTAAAGGTAGTGATTTATATTTTGAAACCAGCCCCTTTTTTCTGAGGCACGAGAACATTTACAAATATCAGATTCCCTCTGTATGACACTTCTTTATGATACATTACAGCCAGCCAGCCAACCAAGTACAGCTGAAGGTCAATAAAAAAGCATTTGTTCAAGAGTGACCTACACTGACCTGTTGACTCAGGTAATCTAATCAGGATTTAGACTTTTTAAAAAGCAAATTCTGGATTCTTCTCTGCTTCCCATATCACATTCTTGCTATTCTTTTTTAATCCCAGCAAACAATACCAAGTTCTACTTGCTCAAGATAAAATACAAACAGTCCTCGGGTTATGTTGGACTCGACATACGTTGTTTTGTGGTTACGTCATCATCTCCCATTTATCCTATCTAATAATAGGCAAACATGGTAACTGACCATACCTCCGCTACGCTTCCCATTGGCTAATCAGCAGGATATGCAAATTAACTGCCAACAAAGATGGAGGCTGGCAGCCACGCAGCTGAAGCAAACATGAGGCTTGCTTGCTCCAGTGATGGAGGAAGCCAAGGTTCCCTGCCAGCTGCAGCCCAGCTCTCAGCTCTGGAAGCAACAATGTTTCAATTATAGAAGCTAAACAAACCCCAGATACCTGCTTTCAGCCAGCCATGGCCTCAGAGTTGAGAGCGCCAGTGATAGCAGCAGAGTTTCAATTATAGAAGCTAAACAAACCCAGATACCTGCTTTCAGCCAGCCGCAGCCTCAGAGCTGGAGCCAGGCCTCAGAGCTGGATCCGGCTCTCAGCTCCAGTGACAGCTATAGAAGGTAAATAAATCCCAGAATTAAAAAAAAGAAAAAAAGGAGAGGCTGGGAGCTTCAGCCGCCCGCCAGCCTGAAAACAGCCCTCAGCCCCTCACCCAGACTGGCCAGGCACCCCAGTGGGGACCCCCACCCTGAAGGTGGTGTGACCAGCTGCAAACAGCCATCAGCCTGTCATCCAGGCTGGCCAGGAACCCAAGCAGGACCCCCACCCTGATCTGGATCACCCTTCAGGGCAAACCAGCTGGCCCCCACCCGTGCACCAGGCTTCTATCCTATATAGTAAAAGGGTAATATGCAAACTGACCCTAACAGCAGAAAGATTGGGAATGACTGGTCACTATGACACACACTGACCACCAGGGGGCAGACGCTCAATGCAGGAGCTGCCCTCTGGTAGTCAGTGCGCTCTCACAGAGGGGGAGCTCTGCTCAGCCACAAGCCAGGCTGCCGGCTGCCAGCACAGCGGTGGTGGTGGGAGCCTCTCCTGCCGCCTCAGCAGCACTAAGGATGTCTGACTACAGCTTAGGTCTGCTCCCCGCTAGCAAGTGGACATCCCCCGAGGGCTGCCGGGCTGCCAGAGGGATGTCTGATTGCCATCTTAGGCCCAATCCCCTGGGGAGCAGGCCTAAACCACCAAGTGGTCACCCCCGAGGGGTCCCAGACTGAGAGAGGGCACAGGCCGGGCTGAGGGGACCGCCTCCCCCCGAGTGCACAAATTTTTGTGCACCGGGCCTCTAGTTTATATATAAAAAAATTCCATCATTTTGATGTATGTACATATGTGCTTTATGTTTTTTATTATTTATTTACCACAAGTAAAGGTCAGGCATTGTTATCTTTATTTTAACCCTTTGCACTGCGAACCATTCTGGACATTGGCTACCAGCTACTCGACGCTACTTTGCGGCGGAAACGTGCATTTACAGACCCTCGTATTATTTAGGAACCAAGTAACGTATTATAATGATATTGGACTTATATGAATTGGGTGACATCGAGGAATGTATATTTGCAAAAAAAACAATATTTTATTGTTTATAATTTTGTACAGTATGATAAGTTTTGTAACACTCCCCAATATGCATTGCAGGCTGATTAGCGCATGTTTGACAGTAATAAGTGGTTTGACGCCTGCCACCAGGTGTTTTCCTGTTAGAACACACAATGCAGTCCCGTTTTCTATCTCACATCGGGAATATGTAGTTTATTGTTTAATCCGACACAAAACCCGCTGACATTTCTTGTATATATCTTAGTAATTTTACGATATTTTGATTTAATTTCTTGTGCCATTTCAAGATAAAACTTCAGGGAAACATGCATGTCTCAAAAAGTTGCGTTGAAATAACTCAATTCCCCGTAATCACTAATAAACTGCAATGTCCCCTGAGAGGGGACAGCGGAGTGCAAAGGGTTAAATTTGTTTTACTGTTTCACTTCATTACTGCTATGTATGTGCTCCCTGTGAGTATGTAGGTGCTTACCTAGGTGGATTCCAACTTACGGCAAAAATCGAGTTATGTTGTACCATAGGAACTGATCTCCAATATAACCCCAGGACCTACTGTATAGGAAATCTCCTTGACCAGCCCCCCCTCCCTCCCCCAACATCCTCCTGACACATCATTCTAGTTCAAGGGGGATGATTTGGACAATGTCGGAGACATTTTAGGTCGTCACACTCAGGGGCAGGTTGCAACTGGCATCTAGTGGGTAGAGAGCATGAATGCCACTTCAAAATTCTACAGTACACAGGCAACTTCTCTTTCTTCCTCCCGCCCCCAACAAGGAATTATCCAGCGCAATGTCAATAGTTTCACTGTTGAGAAATTCACATCTAATATAAGAATAAAGAAGCCCACTGTCATTGAAATTAATTATTCATAATCGGTCATGTTTTCATTTATCTGGCCCTTTGAATAAATGACTCTTACCTTCTAATTCAAACACTACAAGCATTCACTCAATATATATTTTGCATATCCAAATTAAGCTATCCTTTCCTGTTTTTTTGTTTTATTTTGGTTTTTTTTTTTTACACTATGAGACAGGGCCAGTGGTTCTCAACCTTCTGGCCCTTTAAATATAGTTCCTCATGTTGTGACCCAACCATAAAATTATTTTCATTGCTACTTCATAACTGTAATGTTGCTACTGTTATGAATTGTAATGTAAATATCTGATATGCAGGATGCTCTTAGGCAACCCCTGTGAAAGGGTTGTTTGACCGCCAAAGGGATTGCGACCCACAGGTGGAGAACCACTGGGGTAGACTCATCCAAAAGCATCCTGGTGTCTTGGCTTGGATTGTGCCTAAAGAGCGATTTTGAAGAGACATTAAAATATTTCCAAAACTTATAATGAAAGCTCCATTTCAAGAGGGCAGTTTTGAAGCAGTTTTAAAAGAGCATAGACTTATAGATGCAGAGAACCGACTGATGGTTGCCAGAGGGGAGGAGAGGTAGGGGACTGGGTGAGAAAGGTGCAGGGAGTACATAGTACAAACTGGTAGTTACAGAATAGTCACGGGGATGTAAAGTACAGCACAGGGAATACAGTCAGTAATATTGTAATAATGATATATTGTGCTAGGTGGGTACTGGTAATATCAGGGGGAACACTTTGTAAAGTATACGATTGCCTAACCACTATGAGGTACACCTGAAACTAATACAATATAATATTGAATGCCAACAGTAATTGAAAAACTAAAATTTAAAAAAAGATAGCAGTTTTAACCCAAGATTTTAACTCTCTTGCTTTGAAATTGCCATGGATATAACTCAACAAGGATCAAAACAAGGACAACATTGATATGAACAGTGATAACAGGAGGTTACTATTGGCTATCTAAACACCTTGAGGGCAGTCTGGTGGAGATAAACTGAGATTGACGGGAATATCAACTGGTTACAGAGTCAGCACAGATAAGCAAGTGGGTAGGGTCACCCTTGCAGAGTCCTGATCTAGGCAAGGGTCAGGCACAGGCAACTTGGGATAGTTCAAAGGTCCTTGGCAATTGCATCAGTGCCCTGTTCAGGTTTTAATCCCACCCCTTTCTTGTCATGATCTACTCTATTAGACATTGTAATGTTAGCTGCCTGTTGTAACAACCCCACAGTCTCAATAATGTCAGTAGTTCAACGAGTGTCTTGCAGTGGTTCAGTTGTTGGTTTTGTTTTGGAGTGTGTGTGTGTGTGTGTGTGTGTGTGTGTGTGTGTGTGTGTGTATTTCATGTCTCTGTCCTATGCAGGCCAGCTGGCTCTTCTAGGCCACTCACCTCCACATGGTGACTCAGGGACTTGAGTACTTTCCATTGTGGTCTCTGCATCTCAGAGTCCCTTATTTCTGACCCATATATGAGAAAGAGAAACCTTACAAATGATCAAGCAGGAAAGTTAGGTAATGGCCCTAGAGTGGCATACATCGTTTCTGCCCATATTCTGTATTCCAGGGCTAGACAGATGGTCCCAGAGTAGCTGTAAGGGAGCCTGGACAATGAAGTCTTCCCTTCTGTTCAGCGGGAGAATGGGATTGGTGAGCATCAGCTGGTCTCTACCTAAACGATATAGAAAATTAAGTGGGGTTGTCTTTACCCCCAGATTCTCAGTAAAGAAGCTGCACCAGAGGAGAATCAGCCCTAGCTGATTTCAATATGATTCAACAAAACAGGCAACTGCATTTTATCTCCAAGTGATGTCGGTACCATTCAAACAACATAATCCATCTCTGTGACTCTCCTGAAAATGAACTGCAATTACCTTACTTAATGGGCACAAAAAATCCTTCAGCATCAAGGTTTTAGATTTCTCTTGTTCACAACGGGGTCATCTGAATTTACCACCGTAATCGGCTATGATTAGGCTGTAATAATAGTGTTTAGCTTCAAATCCTTGTATCATTCTAGTTGATACCATAACAATTAGAAGCTGATGATATAGTGTCTACTGTGTTCTTCAGATTCTCTGCCTGAAAGGTAACCAAAACTTCAAGTTGAAGGAATGTTCTTTATACCTTCATTGCAACCTCAGTCAGGTGTTTAATAACTGCTTGGTGATACCTTAAAGTAGGTGGCATCAGACAGACTCCTGGGGTGAATTCTGGGTCCTGAGACCTATGACTTTGGGAAGGTCAACTTCTCTAAATACGACTTTATTTATATACCTGCATCACACTTCAATTGCTGCATAAAAAATTACCATAAACTCAGTGACTTATGCAAGTATGAAAGTAGCAACAACAACAACAATAAAAACTCATATGAGTGTATTAGTATATCCTGTTGATTTTAAGGTGTTTATGGAATTACCAGTTGAATAAATCACAACAGGTACAGCATGGGAAATTAAGATCTATCAAGTTCTAATAGTTTGCATCAGGGTGGATCCTGGCATCATAAGACAACATAAAATCGGAGATATTTTTCAAATTTTTATGTAAATGTATGTATATTTTTATCAACTTGATTACTCAATATCTTACTGAAATTATTTATCTTAACAGGATTCAAATTTCCTTAATAGTTACAATAGGCAAAACACAGACTCTAAAATCTAAAATTCTAAAAATTTCAGGAAAGGAAAATCAGTGAATTAAGTAAAAAAAGAGAATAAAAGTGAATTACAAAAAGCAAAGACTGTACTGCCATGTAATCAACTGACTCCCTTTCCCCTATAATCAGCATCATCTTAATTCGTGTTGTAATAAAAAAGATTTTTAAAATCCCATATTTTAAAGTTTAGAGAAAAAATTAAGCAATCCCTGCACCATTCTCATAAACATAAACAATAATGTAATAAATGTATTCTTTGCGTTTGCTATTGCATGAAATAAGGAATTTGGCTGCTGGTCCAGAGGCTGCATGGCCTGGCTTCTTTAGTCCCACCGTGATATTATTGAGAAAAAAATCATAACATTCATTTCAAAAGTACCTTGTCTGTGTCTGAGAAAAGGTATCATATGCTATAAAATATTAACTTAAGAAGAGTCACAGGCCTAAAGGGCAATAAGGGTATTTGGGGCTTTAGGGCTCTTCCTGCTGGAGGAGCTTCCACCTCACAGAGAGATCAACTTCCTCATCAAAGTCCTCCAGCTCCTGCTCCTTGGAGAGCTCCAGGAAGACCTGCCGTGGAGGAACAGACAGAGAGAGGGTGTCACACTGCCTCCTGGAGCTCCGAGTGCGTGCAAAGGGTATGCACACATTGCACCTTATATTCTATGGGGGATACAGAAATCTCTAAGGCGGACCCACCTGCTCCAGGGTGGACTGTGACAGGCTGTACTCCTCCAGGTCGAAGCTCTGTTTAACTGCACAAGGATGGATGGATGGGCATTAGGAAGTCATGTATTTTGGATCCTGAAAGTTGTACCAAAGTCACGTATAAAAAGTACCAAGAGGCCAAGAGGAGGAGGCATCACTCATCCCCAGAATGCTGTGGTCAGAGGCTAAAGATGGGAGGGGAGAGGGTCTCATCAAAGAACCCACAAAAGCACCCCACAAGAGAAAGGGAGTCAGGCCCTGCTGTCATAGGACAGCACTAATGATCAAATCAAGCTTTGCTTCCATGTTATCTCCTCTCTCCTCCCCTTATACTTGACCTAGAGAGGCCTAAACCATCAGCCTATGAGTAGAGGTGAGGAGGGTAAGAAGAGAGACAAAACTGACCATCCTACCTCCCTAGCTTCAAGTCTTCAAATCTGAAGGAAGAAGGGGGCATGGGAGGCTCTAGTTTCCCTGGAATTTGCATTAGCCCAAAGCGATCTGATTGTATGCAAGAATGACTCTATGTAGCAAGGTAAAGAAATAACAATGGGGCATGCCTTTTGCTTCCAAGCTACTTGGAATTTCAATACATGCATTGCTGCTGAGAATGTAACTATGGCTAACTTAACATTTGGAGAGAAAAACACTAGCTTAGGACATTTCGGTATCTTGTAACAGGATAGGAAACTGATAAAAAGTTGTTTTTACCCCCTAAATCAGGACTTCCATTTCAGCAAACTAAGCACATCAGAAGGCATTTGAGGAGGGAGAGGACATTTTTGAAAGCAGAAACACAGGAAGGCCCTTAAGAAAAAGCTCCATTGTATTCCAGGGAGGCAGCTTTCTTGGAACATCTCTCTCCCTGCTTCTAATTAATTATAAAATCCTTCCTGTTGGTCAGACCCCATTGTGGGAATCCTTCCCACCGGAATGCTGCAAAATTGGTCAAAAGGCCAAAATGGTCAGTGCGGTAAATGGACCCATAGACCACAGAGTGAAGGGAACGGCAGAATCAGAAGGTGGAAAGAAGCCCTGTCTGGGGCCATCCTAAGCTTAACTCCAGGGGAAGGATCTTTTCAAGAACTAGGATGCCCGAGGGAGGGTTCTAATGACTGATGACAGGCAAAAAATAAAAATAAAAATAAAAAAATAGACAAGCCTGAAGGGAAGGTGTTCAGCTTTGAATGTGTCTGTTTCCCAGAGTCTTTTTAAAAATATATATTTTTATTGATTTCAGATAGAAAGGGAGGGGGGAGAAAGAGGCAGAAACATCAATGAGAGAGAATCATTGCTTGCCTCTTGCATGCCCCCTACTCGGGATCAAGCCCACAACCTGGGTATGTGCTCCTGACTGGAATCAAACCTGGGACCCTTCAGTCCTACGCTCTGTCCACTGAGCCAAACTGGTTAGGGCTGTTTCCCAGTCTTACCTCTAAATAGTTGCTCTTACCGATCTCTAATTTGAAGAAAGCCTGCGATAAAGGTCTCACATCCTCAACAGGCAACTTATAGACCATCAGGGAGGAGTACCTGGAAGGAAAAGAGTGAGGCTGAACTCCGGGCCGTAAGAGCACAATCCCTGACAAGTGAATATCCAAAACGGAGCAACAGCCTGACAGGTGTGAAGTGGTATCTCACTGTGGCTTTAATGTGCATTTAACTAAAGAACCAACCAACCAACCAAAGAAAATGGACACAGACTCATAGATACAGAGTCTGTTTACATTCAGTATTATTTTGGGTCTACAGCATAGTGGTTATTATCACAGGAGATAAGAGCATAGGCCTGCGGACTGAAAGATCCCAGGTTCAATTCCGGTCAAGGTCATGTACCTTGGTTACGGGCACATCCCCAGTAGGAGGTGTGCAGGAGGCAGCTCCGCCCCTACCTTTCTCTTGATTCTCCTGGCCCCACCACAAGTTACTTGGCATTGTCTAACCCAGTGGTTGGCAAACTCATTAGTCAACAGAGCCAAATATCAACAGTACAATGATTGAGATTTCTTTTGAGAGCCAAATTTTTTCAACTTAAACTATATAGGTAGGTACATTGTTATTAACTTAATTAGGGTACTCCTAAACTGGCCTTTGCTAAAAACATCCTCAATCTGATTGAGGTACGTTGGCTGAGGTCGACCCCTTCCAACTCTCCCATCCACACTCATCTTGTATACTTGTTTCATCTATCTCCTTTCGTTCATCCTCTCTATATTTCCAAACCATCTCAACATACCTTTCTCGATCCTCGACACTACATCTTCTTTCACTCCACAACTTTCCCTAAAATTAACTTAATAAACTTTACTTAAAGTTTTAAGTCAACTTCGCACTGTATGTGTGTGCCCACACGTGGTATTTTGTGGAAGAGCCACACTCAAGGGGCCAAAGAGCCGCATGTGGCTCGCGAGCCGCGGTTTGCCGACCACTGGTCTAACCTATCTGAGCCTCCAGGGCCACTCATTACTTGATAATGTTACTGATAATAAAAATGCTAAGAGACACCATTCAGCGAGGTGGACTGCTGCCTGGCACTGGATGTTATACAGCTGATCTCCTTGGATGGGAGTGGCTTCACCCTCTAAAAGGACAACTGAAATGAACTAGGTTCATGTACTGGTTAGTACCTGGCACCTTCCCTTATAGAATCAGTTTCCAAATGAGCATTTTGTTCTCTTGTTTCCCTCCTGTGGTAGCCCTTAGGTTCGGGACTATCTCTAGTAATTTTTCACAATGACCATAAAGTTAAAAAAAAAAATTAAAAAAAAAATGAGAAGACAGAAAATAAAACCGAGACCAAGGTGAAACAGACCACCGCCTGGACTTGCCTTTCCTGCCGAGCAGCCTGGGGGAAGAGCCTCAGGATTTCGCTGTGCAGGGGCTCCACGTGGGCGAGGGTCTTCACCTTCATCTCCAGCAGGTAATCCTTGCCAAATCTGCTCTTCAGGTGCTGGATGGAACCGATACATCTGGAGGGAAGAGGAGGAAGAGGAGGAAGTCAATCAAGAAAAGGGAGAGAGAAATCTACTGCTGATAATTTTTGGCTTCTGGAGGCCAGGGCAGGGCCAGGGAGAGCCGGAACAGCCAGCCCTCCTGCTCCTCACAGTGATGCCCTGTGCAGGGAAATGTCCTTTGTGCAGGGCGTGACTGGGGACCTCGTGTGGGCACTCACCTCAGCCTCCCGGACACCATGATGGCCACACGGTCACACACGGCCTCCGCCTCGGCCATGTAATGGGTGGTCAGGAGGGCGCCCCTCTTGGTGTTTTTAAAGCTGGCCCTGATTGCCTGCCTGAATGGAAAGAAAAGATATGCATGGGAAGCATACACAATGACATCCAGAACCCCGCCCTCTCCCCTACCTGTGAATCCTAATGAGAATTACCATTCTCACGAGAAGTGTGGGACACGGGGAGATTGTGTCTTATTGTGTCACACAGATACACCATAGCTACTTAAAAGATCAATTGAGCAATTACAATACTCAGAGTGAGTCTGTTTGGGCCTGACCATGATTATTTTTCCTTTAATGAGAAATAGCAAGATGTTTTTGCAAAGTATTGGCTCCAGTGATGGTGAACATTTTGAGCTCGGCGTGTCAGCATTTTGAAAAACCCTAACTTAACTCTGGTGCCGTGTCACATATAGAAATTTTTTTATATTTTCAACCATAGTAAAACAAAGATTTATATTTTTGATATTTATTTTATATATTTAATGCAATTTAACAAAGAAAAATCAACAAAAAATTTGAGTTCATAGGTTCACCATCACTGGGCTTTACAAATGATACTCAGGGTTGTTTTTATTTTGTATTAAGAGACAGTGTACGGGAAAGGGCCACCTTGCTTTCTGTAGATGCGTGGAGTTGGTGGCCACGCCTCTGGGCTGGGATGAGCTAAGCTCTTGGGGAGGCGGGGGAAACGGGGGCCGAGCTGGAGTTACAGCTGCTACAGGGGTGGCAGTTGGACCATTGCTGCTGCAGGATTTGCAGTCTGTTGTATTTTGTTTTTTTTTTAAAAATATATATATATTTCTTGATTTCAGAGAGGAAGGGAGAGGGAGAGAGAGATAGAAACATCAATGATGAGAGGGAATCATTGATCGGTTTCCTCCTGCCCCACACCAGGGATCAAGCCCGCTACCCAGGCATGTGCCCCCACAGGGAATCTAACCATAACCTCCTACTTCACAGGTTGATGCTCAACCACTGAGCTATGCCGGCTGGGCCAGGCCATTGTGTTTTGCAAGCCACGAAGTATGTGGAGCCTCAAGTCAAACAACACTTTCAAAGTCTACCAACATCTGCCTTCAGTGGTGGCTATTACACATGGGTTTGAACCCAACATAACAAAATGGGAAACAGAATTCACATGGGGTAAGCCCTACTGCCAATAAAGGAAAAATAAGAGATGCGCATTAGTGAATTATGCTTTTAACCCTCCTAGACGATCCCTTCAATGAAGCTGAAGGTTCACTAGAAGGCCAAGCCAAAACAAAGTGAACATATAGGATGAAAAAAGTTCTTATCATGTTATGTACACGAGTACCAGCTTTTTATAATAAATGGTCCGCAGCTACACATTTTAAAAATGATTTTGCACAAAATAAGTCAAAGCCTTGGATAAGTTTCCTTTTAAATTTGAGGATTTAAAATTAGATTATAGAATATTTAGAGATGAATGCTTAGTAATTATGGATAAATACACACTATTTGAATAGATCTATTCTTCATTACTCATTTAGCAAAGAATTGGGTACTTATTTCAAGGCAAAGAGAGCATGAACATCTCTGCTCTCACAGAACCTCAATCTAATGGAGACTGAAAAACTGGTAACAGAACATGATAACTATTATGATGGAATTAGTGATGGTGAACTTATCTCATTGGGTACAGAGAGCTGGCTCAGCTGAATTTAAAAGTGAGTAGCCATGCCAACTGGCATGGCTCAGTGGTTGAGGGTTGATCTATGAACCAGGACATATGCTTGGTTTGGGTCTCCATCTCCAGTGTGGGGTGTGCATGGGCAGCCGATCAATGATTCTCACTCATCATTTTTGTTTGTATCTCTCTCTCCCTCTCCCTTCCTCTCTGAAATCAATACAAATATATTGATTTAAAAAATAAAAGTGAGTAGCCACAACTTTGACCTAAGAAACTGAGATAAGTAGGTATATGTCCCCGACAGAACTCAGATTTCACACGTTAAAAACTTGATGAAAAGTAAAAAACATATCAAAACAGCTTAAGGGACAATGTTCACAGGAGGTAAACACTTCACAGATTTCCTGCCAGGCATCCACACTGGCCCTGACCCGGCGGTGCCCCTCACCACATCTGCTGCTGCCCCGAGGGGTCCATGCCCGTGGTCGGCTCGTCCAGCAGCACCGCCGATGGGTTTCCCAGGATGCTCAGCGCGAAGCACAGCTAGAAGGAGAGGAACAGCGCATCTGGCATGGATCTGGGATCTGTGGGCCTCGCGGGGTAACCCCAGCCCCAACCCTACCTTTCTCTTCATTCCCTCTGACAAGGCCTTCACAGGGCGCTTCTCCTCCTCCTGCAGCTTGAGCGCCTCCACCAACCTGAAGCAAACACAATGGGGGCTACAGGCTTCTAAGAACCAGGACACTTGGTGGGAGAGCGAGCCACGCAGGACCGGGTGGGGAACAGAGCTCCGAAATGCGGTTCTGACATAGACGCCTGGCCATGTTGCATTGAACTGGTTTGACGCCCGCCCCCCAAATTAGTTTTTCCCTTTGAAAGATTTGAAGCCATTTTATGACATGCAAATAGCTGTCCTATGATAGTTTACACTTAAGTTTTAGTATTTTTGATAAATTTACCAATACATACTTTGTTCTTTCCATATTTAAGATGAGAAAATAGAGGAGAAACCAAGATGGCGGCATAGGTAAACACCGGAGATTGCTGCCTCGCACAACCACTTCAAAAATACAACTAAAAGACGGAACAGAAATCACTCAGAACCACAGGAAGGCTGGCTGAGGGGAAATTCTACAACTAGAAGGAAAGAGAAAAGCATACCGAGACTCAGAGGAGGTGCAGTGGGGAAAATACAAAGGTGCGGAGGTGCATGCGGAGCGGGCTGGTGGCTGAGGGCGCGGTTGTCTGTTTCAATCGGGAGGGAGTCTCAGGCTCTGAGCTCCAGTTCCGGGCAAGTCTCTGGGGACCCAGACTCAAACGGGAGAAGCGGGACTGTCTGGCATCGGTCGGAACTCGAGGGCAGCTTTCTCTCCGAGGTTTGCAGCGGTTGCTGGGACTCTGAGAGGCAGAGCCTCTGGAGACGGGACTGAGAGCAGCCATAACTGCTCGCTCCACCCGCCCTGTAGATCCCCTGGGACCTGCCCCGCCCAAGCCCTGCACAGAGGCATTTGCCGGATAGCCTCAGGCAAAGGCTACATTAGCACCTCCTTAGAGGACAGTAGTTCTCCCACTGCAGACACAGCTGATTCGCACAGCCAGTTGGCCTGGAGGTCAAGTAGTAATTACCTACAACAATCAAGGCTTAACTACAACAAGACTGCGCACAAAGACCACAAGGGGGTGCACCAAGAAAGCATAAAAAATGCGGAGACAAAGAAACAGGACACAAATGACAGAAATGGAGGATATAGAGTTCAAAACCACACTTTTAAGGTCTCTCAAGAACTGTCTAGAAGCCGCTGATAAATTTAGTAGGGCCCTCGAAAAGACTGGTGAGACCGCTGAGAAATATAGTGAGATCCTCAAGAAATCTAATGAGACCCTCGATGTTGTGATAAAGAACCAACTAGAAATTAAGCATACACTGACTGAAATAAAGAATATTATACAGACTCCCAACAGCAGACCAGAGGATCACAAGAATCAAGTCAAAGATTTGAAATGTGAAGAAGCAAAAAACACCCAACCGGAAAAGCAAAATGAAAAAAGAATCCGAAAATACGAAGATAGTGTAAGGAGCCTCTGGGACAGCTTCAAGCATACCAACATCCAAATTATAGGGGTGCCAGAAGATGAGAGTGAGCAAGATATTGAAAACCTATTTGAAGAAATAATGACAGAAAACTTCCCCTACCTGGTGAAAGAAATAGACTTACACGTCCAGGAAGCACAGAGAACCCCAAACAAAAGGAATCCAAAGAGGACCACACCAAGACACATCATAATTAAAATGCCAAGAGCAAAAGACAAAGAGAGAATCTTAAAAGCAGCAAGAGAAAGAAACTCAGTTACCTACAAGGGAATACCCATACGACTGTCAGCTGATTTCTCAACAGAAACTTTGCAAGCCAGAAGGGAGTGGCAAGAAATATTCAAAGTGATGAATACCAAGAACCTACAACCAAGATTACTTTATCCAGCAAAGCTATCATTCAGAATTGAAGGTCAGATAAAGAGCTTCACAGATAAGGAAAAGCTAAAGGAGTTCATCACCACCAAACCAGTATTATATGAAATGCTGAAAGGTATCCTTTAAGAAGAGGAAGAAGAAGAAAAAGGTAAAGATACAAATTATGAACAACAAATACACATCTATCAACAAGTGAATCTAAGAATCAAGTGAATAAATAATATGATGAACAGAATGAACTGGTGATTATAATAGAATCAGGGACATAGAAAGGGAATGAACTGACTATTCTTGGGGGAGAAAGGGGTGTGGGAGATGCGGGAAGAGACTGGACAAAAATCGTGCACCTATGGATGAGGACAGTGGGTGGGGAGTGAGGGCGGAGGGTGGGGTGGGAACTGGGAGGAGGGGAGTTATGGGGGGAAAAAGAGGAACAACTGTAATAATCTGAACAATAAAGATTTAATTAAAAAAAATAAGATGAGAAAAGAAAATAACATGTTAATATCAGGAAAACCAGTTTGTGATCGCAAATCTCCCCATTGGGGTCTGGGTCAGCGTTGAGTCTCCTGGGAAATCTTGAGTTTCCTGTGAAGGCTGTCACTCCAACTGACTTCCTGGACCTCTCAGGTGTGTCCTCCTCCTGCCCCCCTCCCCCCCACCCCTTCCCCCCTTGTACCGTGTGATGGTGACCGTGGCATCTGCTTTCCTCAGCCCTTTCACTGCAGCGAACACGTCCAGGTGCTCTCTCACTGTCAGGTTGGGCCACAGCGCATTCTCCTGAGGACAGTACCCCAGGAACCCCAGAGGGTCCCCTTCACTGCTGCCTTTTAGTAGCACCTGCAGATAAAACTTCCCTCTCAGACTCGACGGCCTGCATTGCTCCTCTGTGTTCCCATGACATCTTTCTCCTTACAAAACTAGAAAAACTAGAGAAATTCTCCGAGCTCATTGCCTCAAATCACCTGCAACCATTTTGCATTGGAAGAAGGTTGTCAGAGTGTAAATACCTGGCAACGAACAGATATTCAGGGCAAGTGACTTTAGGTAGGGCGATCCGAGAAAGCCTGCCTGCTGAGGGACCATTGCAGCAGGAGGGTGACAGGGCGCCTGCCCTGGAAAAGGCCAGGAGTTTGGGGTAGAGCAAAGCCCTGTGGAGGGATGCTGCTCAATGTGCTCTCAGACCCCAGGCTACAGTAGGGGATCTGGAGCCGAGGGGTCCAGGGGAGAAGAGAGAGATGTGATAGGAGGGTCGTGGGAATTAGCAAGGAGAGGTTTCCTTCCAGCCACAGTGCAGTGAGAGGTCACTGAATGTATTTCAGCAGGACAATGACCTTTTATAAAGATCTCACTGACTGATCTGATTCAAGCTGGTTTCATGACACCCAAATGGTTATTGGGTTTATAATTCAGATCTCACGTAACCTTTAGACATATTTCATTCCAAGATCTCAATGAATGGTTACCTCTTTTTTTGCCCCTGCTCAAGGAGAAATAAAATATTGATTTTATTTCAAGGGGGTGCTCTCAACTGAACTAAGCACTCCCATTAGGCTGGCTGAGCCACCAACATCACCCAGAGGCACCTTTCACGAACACCTGCTCTCACCTCAGCTTCAGAGCAACTGTGAATATGTTTCCTCCTTCCTCTTTCCTGGGACACCTGCCAATCACGTTCTTGGTGGTCTTCCCCTTGGTGGGCGTGACCACCAGCCCCTTTCCCATGGTGGAGGTGCACAAACCTCTGCCTTAGGATTCTGTTCTCCACTCCCCCCACCCCGACATACCTTTCAGAGGAGCTCTTAAGGTTACCTATCTCCTGCCATAGAATTTCAGTTTTCTCTGTAACTCATGTTGTTTCTTTGATAAATTCAGCTCTTTTTCTTTGCCTGGCCTTCTATGCAGTTGAATTGCATGGATAATTCTGTCAACCTCATATCCCGATTGCTCTACTTGGAGCCATTCCTTGAAAACACTCACCTAAGATACTGTGTTTCTACCAAAATATGTGTTACAGTAACTAAGCACTTGTAAAGAAACACACACACACACACACACACACACACACACACATTTTAATTCATAATAGGAGGACAGTGCTCATTGAAAGTGCAAATCGAAGTGTTTTATGGTAGTATAATAGGACTTGTATAAATTCTGAGATTGGCCATTTCCACGAATTGCCTTTACAGGCATGAATAATTATTCCCTTTCAGTGATTAATTTTGTTGTGTGTTAATGTGATAATTTGTAATGGGTATTCAGCCACATTAATCACTTCATTCATCTAATGAATAAGTGAGATTTTGCTGGTTATAACAATTTGACATCTTATGAAATTTATCTTGAGCACCACTAGGTAATGTATTTTCCACGTGATTCACCTACCTGTCCAGCAGTTGGTTTGGTGTCTCCAGTTATCACTTTAATGGATGTACTTTTACCAGCTCCATTGTGTCCTAGTAATCCTAAAACCTCACCTGGAAAAAAAGGTCACATTTAGTACAAATTGATTTTAATAATAAAATTAAGAATAAAACATAGTCTGAAGCCTCACTGTGACAAGTATTCTATGTGATTTGTAGGTAATGTCTCATTCAATTGTCATATCCCCCCACCCCCAGAGGTAATCATAACCCTTTCTTACATATTTGGGAACAAAAGCCCTTAGGGATGAGGTTAGTTGCTCAAAGTCACACTGATGGAAAGTGACAAAGTCACTCTTGGAAGCTAGGTGTATGACACCACACATCTCCTGTGATCCTAAGAACTGTGCAATAATGTCACAAAATGAAGTCAAGTGCCATCTGCCGGTCAAGCCTTCAGAACATGCTGGCACATTCTTTTTGTTTTCTTGTGAAAAATAATGAATGTTAGGAAATTAATCGTGTTCATTACAGAGAAAAGCACATTTTTGGGGTTTCAATGGTTTATTTCAATAGAGTGCTTATGGTTTCCATGCCCATGTGACTAAGTCCTTATCTATGGGCATGACTTAGTTAATTTCTCTAGGAATAAGCCATGTAAAAGGAGCTGTCAAGGTCACCCCACTGATGGGTCTGTGTGCGAACCAAGAGGTGGTCACAGAATGATTCTCATCAAGAACCACAAAGCGCGAAGGAGGGCACCGAGCCAGCAGTGGGAGAGCCTCCGTGTCCAACCTTTTCTGACACAGAAAGAGACATTCCTTGTGGCGATTTTCTTCTTCTTCTTGGAAAAGCAGTGTTTCCTCTTCACTGTGTACTCCTTGCGTAGACAGCTGGCAATAATGGCTGGTCTCTGTAAATGACAAGTACGTCATGTCAGACATTAAGACTCTCTATTGACCTCGAACAAGCTTTAGCCTCCGACTAAGCTAGCCCCTGACTGCACAAGCCATGCTTCCAAGAAGACTTCCTACTAGATGACAGGTTTATGGGCCATTCTCTTATCTTAGCACTTATGTTTCCCTCTCCTACAAGGGCACTCACTCAGGAACACATTATTTTATGCAGCCAGCCCATCTCTCAGAACAGAAGCAAAGAGACTTGGAGAAGCACCAAATCACCCTCCAAGGACAAACAACACACTGTGGACTCGACTTTGCCCTGCATTTTGTAGTGTCCTTTCTCCAAGAAGCAGTGATTGGGGTCACTTAGCTCAGTTTCTAAAATTCACAAATTCTTTCTTGGCTTCAGAAATTTCAATTTCACTCCAGCTTTAAGATTTATTTTCTATGAAAGACAAAGTGAGTTAAAATGATTTTTTAATCTGTGCTCATTTAGATGTAAAAATAATGACTACCTGCTAAAATAAAGTTATGATCCTCATTTGTATGAATTAAAGAAAGGTAAAATCATTTGAGAATTAGATGCTTTCTGATTTTATTCATTTGTGTTAGTTGTTGAAATAACTACTTTGTGTGTTTTTACCTCATCAAAGTTTGTGGAATTCAAGGCATTTACTGTTCTCACTCTTTCCATCTCAACATCTTCATCCTCCTCCTCGGGCTCCTCTGGATTTTGGTGTACATCACTGCTTCTTGGAGAAATTCTGCAGTCAAACCATCCATTAATAATTGATTTCGGTTTTTTATCCTCGTATCAAAAACACTGCATTCTTTAAATCTTATACTTGAGTAGACTGGGTGATTAATAACCCATCATAGTTTCTCTTCAATCCAGTGAAATTTCCACCCCCCTGTCCAAATGCAAATAGGATGCTTGATCACCTGTTAAGGTTAGGCATTTCTTTGGAATATGTGTCAGATTCACTAATTTTCCTCCATTCTAACTCCGTCCCTCATACTCTCTTCCTTCTAGTCTCTCTTCCTTCAACCTAAATCTCCCATACTGATCTTAGAAGACTTCTTAAAAGTCTTCTTGTATCTGGGAAGTCTCCCATGCAACTATTGGTAAGAGTTATCAATGAAACTGATGGGGAATAAGATGCTTATGGTTGCATCATTGAATGATGGGAACAGTCTCAGCTTTGAAGTGCCATGAATAACTGAACCAGTCTATGGTCCACCAGTTGAACTTCTCACTATCACAGGAAAAGAGCTATTGCCGTCTTTGACCTATTGATCATTCTATTCTTCCATTCTGGACCGACTGCATTCCGTCGTCACTGTCAATCTATTCACATTAAGTGCTATTTAAACTGAATGAGCCGGATGTAACTTTCCCTAGTGTTCCACTGCACAGTGTCAGACAGAGTCTTTAATATTCAATGTTTTAGGTCTGTTTGCTCCACTATTTATAATCTTTGATTTAGGTCCCTATATCTCTATTATTTATATTGACACATGGTTCCTACCCCAGCCCATTCTAGTTCTTAGCATTTCTTTGTTAATGGATTAATTTGTGCATAAAATTATTTTAAAACAGTGATCACTGAAATAAAAGAATCAAATTTCATTTCTCCAGACCGGAAGAAGGGATCCTTTCTCATTGATATCTTTCCAAACTTCCATTCCAGACATCGAAGAATAAAAATCACAACAATAAGTTGCAAGAAAGGCTAGGAATAAAGAGATGCATAATTAAAAACACTAAAAGAAAATCATTTCACATTAAAAGTGAGTTAGGAATAATTAGACTTCTACAAAGATGCATTTGGCAAAATCATTACCAATTTCCAATCATCTATTTGTCAAACTTTGAAACTAGCAAATTCACTTTCAACCTTGTTTACAGAAACGTAAGAAACAAGTATAATTGTGTGATACCATTATTTTAAATAAGTTTCTCTAATAGTTATACAGTGTACTTAAAAATTGGGACGCATATTATCTCCCTAGTTGATTTTTATAAAAAATATTCTATTTTTACAAATATTTTATCTCTATGCGCTACAAATACCTATATATCCACACTAATAAAAAGTTTCACTGTGTTTACAGGAACTAAACTAGTTTAGTTAGTAAAATACATGATAAATTTTAAAGAAGAATATGTTCTTACAATTAGGAATAGCAGAACGAGCTCTCCATCAATTGAAAAAAGCCTCCCATGCTGCAAAAAGAAAGACAATGGTTAAAGAAGAAAGTTTTCATTTTGTGGGTTTTTGCCATATAAAGTGAATTGGCCCATTTGAACAACCCTCCTGGCATACCCCCCGAAGAGTACTGGCTAAGGGTCCATTCCACAATGTGTAGTGAGGAGCTGTCTTCCTTCCTCCCAAGGTTTACGAGCCATTGTGCTTTTATTTGAAGCAATAGGATTGAGCAGTTATTCATCACCTGGTGAGAGAATCTTGGGGTCTGTTGTGCTAGCCTCCCCAAACATTGAGAGAGGGGCAAGATTTAACCTTTATCACACAGACCTTCACACACCTGCTGGTGCTCACTGCCCCTTTCGTAAGTCCCCTTTCTTTCCTTTCTCTTCCCTATGGATACCCCTTAACTCACATACTGTACTTTCCTTCCATAGGTAGAAGTATAGGTATCAGTCAGCTAGAAAAAAAAGGATTGAGAGCTTCTCTAGAATCCTGAAATCCCTAAGATTAGAGACATTTCATTTGGCTCCTTCTAGAGCTGAGCATGCCCAAGAGTGTATAAAGCCCTGATTGAGTATAAAGGCTGCTTTATACTCAATCCCATTATTGTTATTTATTCTTCCTCCCCACCCATCAACTAGGGTCAACTATTCTATTACAGTTCAGCTGGAGCATATTGTCCTATCTGGAGAGAGATTCAGTTGGAAGCATGAAGTAGAAATCTTCAAATTTCATACATACTGAACATGTTGCAGAGTCCCAGCCCTAAGCAAAGCTTTCACCATTGGTTGTGAGTTCCAGGACACTGGAGCAGATGGTGGCATTACTTACATGAAAAGATAAGATCATACAGCCAACTAATGCAGTGTGTGGCGTTATAAAGTTGATGAAAAACAGTAAAATGTTTTCAGACCTTCCCACCAGAATTATTTTCATACCGAAAAGGCTGATCTAAAAAGAAAAACAAAGCATATTAACCACTCTGAACAATCAATAGATGCTCCAAATTAAGATGGCTCATCTTGGAGATATTCCTAACTTCCACTTGACCCTGAAAACCAAGCTGAAATGAGCGGATCTACATGGACATTTTCTCTTGATGATTCAGGCACATTCCTTGGCCTGGAGGATCATGAATGAGACCTCACTAGATAAAGCTAGGATCTAATATAGAGAGCATTTTAAATATAGAAAAGAAAAAAGGTAGTGATATTATTTTTTGTGGTAAAATTTAGAATTGTATGTAAGCAATAATCATAGGTAAAAATTTAAATTGAATTTTAATAGGATTGCCCAGCCGCTGTGGCTCACTGGTTGAGCATCTGAACTATGAACTAGGACAGTGATGGCGAACCTATGACACACGTTTCAGAGGTGACACGTGAACTCTTCTTTGTTTGATTTTTTTCTTGTTAAATGGCATTTAAATATATAAAATAAATATCAAAAATATAAACCTTTGTTTTACTATGGTTGCACATATCAAAAAATTTCTATATGTGACACAACACCAGACTTAAGTTAGGGTCTTTCAAAATGCTGACACGCTGAGCTCAAAAGGTTCGCCAACACTGAACTAGGAGGTCACGGTTCAATTCCCATTCTGGGCCCGTGCCCAGGTTGATGACTTGATCCCCAGTTTGCAGGAGGAAGTCAATCAATGGTTCTCTCTCATCATTGATGTTTTTAAATCTCTCTCTCTCCTATCCCTTCCTCTCTGAAAGCAATAAAAACATATATTTAAAAAAAGATATCTAATAGGAATAAAGCAACAATAAAAGAATACATGTTAACTATACCAATGGAGAAATATAAGCATTTAAAAACCTGGAGTGGCTTAGTACTAGTACTAAAATACAAAATTCAGGAGAAGAGAAAGTTATAAGTACATCTGCCCCTCTCACACATTTTCTTCTCAACTACTGTAATGCCTAGCTAACAGTTTCTGTACTTCTAATTTCTCTCTGTTACAAACCATCACGTCTATGGCTTCCAGAATATTCTTCCTAAAAGTGTGTCTGTGGTCATATTTCTTTTCTGAATTATTAGCTTCCATGAGAGTGAGTGAGAGAGGGAAACATCAATTTGTTGTTCCACCCATTCATTGGTTGATTTTTGTATGTGTCCTGACTAGGTATCAAACCCACAACCTTGGCATATTGGATGATGCTCTAACCAACAGAGCTACCTGGCTAGGGCTGTAGAATAAATTCTTGAGCCAATCATTTAAGGCGAGTCATGATTCCAACCATTATGTTCACCACAACTAGGACCATGCTCAGGCTGTAGTCAGTTTTCTACCCATATTCATATCAGATTATTACCAGTAGTTAGGACATTTTTCTAGTCTGGACACTCTCCCCTTTGGATTTTGGTTTGTCCACTCTTTTCTATTTGCATCATCATTCTTCTCCAAATGTTGAAATCTTATTCTTCCTCATGTTTCACTCCCTGAAGGAAACCTCTTCCCTCATTTTTATGAATGACTCTCTCCCTTTTCTGGTTTTCATAGACCTCTTTATTACTCAGTTGTGTTAGATTTTATTTATTTATTTTTAAATATATTTTTATTGATCAGAGAGAAAGGGACAGGGGGACAGAGATAGAAACATCAAGGATGAGAGAGAATCTTTGATTGGCTGCCTTCTGCACACCCCCTCTGAGAATAAAGCCCACAACCTGGGCATGTGCCCTTGACCAGAATCGACCCCAGGACCCTTCAGTCTACAGGCCAATGCTCTATTCACTGAGCCAAACCAGATTGGGTGGTTGTGTTAGACTTTTAAAGATGGATGTTATCTCAGTAACTTTTGCCTTATCACTATTTTAGGAATTGGCTGTTTACTCATCTATTTAACATTGAGCACTCTTTCAGTGTTAAAACTGTCAACGACCGAGACGAGCCACCACAGCTGTGAACAGCACCCACCAGAGGAGCTGCTGCCAACTGAGGAGGAGCTGCTACCACAACCGCCCAAGGAGCAACCACAGCCGAGGAGCCACTGCCACCCAACGAGCAGCCACTGAATGACTCAACATCTAGATATGTCGGTGAGAACAAATATGGGTAGACAAAGAAACCCCTAAAGGAAAGAAAAGGAAGACTCGCCAGAAAAGCAGCTAAGTGAAACAGAGGCATGCAACATGACAGAAAAAGAATTCAGATTAAGGGTCCTAGAGTGCATAAACCGGATGGAGGAAAAAATCAACAACTTATGCAAGAAGCAAGAAGAAACAGATGAAAAAATAAATAACTTATGTAAGAATCAAAAAGAAATGGATGAAAAAAATCAATAACTTAGATAAGAACCAAGAAGAAATGAAGAGTGACATAGCTGCAATAAAAAACACCATTGAAAGTTTCAACAGTAAACTAGGAGAAGCAGAGACCGAATTAGTGAATTAGAAGACAAGGAAGCAAAACACACCCAAACTGAAATGCAATTGGAGAAAAAAATTAAAAGACAGGAGAGAGCATAAGGAGCTATGGGACAACATGAAACGAAACAACATACGAATAATAGGGGTGCCAGAACAACAGAAAGAGGAACAAGGGTTAGAAAACCTATTCAAAGAAATAATATCAGAAAACTTCCCTGAGGTGGGGAAGAAAAAAGTCACACAAGCACAGAGAGTCCCAAACAAGGGGATCCCAAAAAGACCCACACCAAGACACATCATAATTACCATGGCAAATGTTCAGGACAAAGAGAGAATCTTACAGGCTGCAAGAGAGAGACGGAAAGTTACATACAAGGGATCTCCCATTAGATTTTCAAATGATTTCTCAACAGAAACACATCAGGCCAGAAAAGAATGGACGGAAATTTACAAAGTGATGCAAAGCAAAGGACTGAATCCAAGAATACTCTATCCAGCAAGGCTATCATTCAAAATTGAAGGGGAAATAAGAAGCTTCACAGACAAAAAAAGGCTAAGGGAGTTTATCACCACCAAGCCAGCAATGCAAGAAATGCTAAAGGAACTGGTATAAAAAGAAGAAATAAAAAGCTCAGAAAGAAAACAGCCACACACACACAAAAAATGGCTACAAACAAGTACCTTTCAATAATAACTTTAAACGTAAATGGACTAAATGCCCCAATCGAAAGACATCCAGTGGTTGAATGGATAAAAAAACATGACCCATATATTAGCTATCTACAAGAGACCCACCTCAGAATAAGGGACTCACACAGACTGAGAGTGAAGGGATGGAAAAATATCTTTCAGGCAAATGGAAATGAAAAAAAAGCTGGGGTAGCAATACTTATATCTGACAAAATAGACCTCAAAGTGAAGGCCATAACAAGAGATAAGGAAGGCCACTTCATAATACTAAAGGGATCAATACAACAAGAAGATATAACCCTGATAAACATATAGGTACCTAATGCAGGAGCACCCAAATATATAAAAACACTCCTGGAAGATATCAAAGAGAGATCAACAACAATACAATCATAGTAGGGGACTTTAATACACCACTGACATCACTGGATAAATCCTCTAGACAAACAATCAGCAAAGAAACAGCAATCCTAAATGACTCACTAGATCAGATAGACTTAATTGACATCTTCAGAACATTTCACCCCAAAGCCACGGAATATGAATTCTTCTCCAGTGCTCATGGGACATTTTCAAAAATAGACCACATATTGGGTCACAAACAAAGTCTGCCCAATTTCAAGAAGATTGAAATCATACCAGCAATCTTCTCAGACCACAATGGCATAATATTAGAAATAAACTACAATAAAAACAACCCAAAATACTCAAACACTTGGAAGCTGAATAGCATGTTATTAAATATTGATTGGGTTACCAATGAGATCAAAGAAGAAATTAAAAACATCCTGGAAACTAATGACAGTGAAAACACAACAATCCAAAACCTATGGGACACAATGAAAGCAGTCCTGAGAGGGAAGTTTATAGCTCTACAGGCCTATCTCAAAAAACAAGAAAAAATGGTAGTAAATCATCTAACTCTACATCTCAAAGAATTAGAAAGAGAGCAACAAGAAAATCCCAGAGTGAGCAGGACGAAGGAGATAATAAAGGTTACAGCAGAAATAAATGACATAGAGACCAAAAAAACAATACAGAAAATCAATGAAACCAAGAGCTGGTTCTTTGAAAGGATAAACAAGATTGGTGAACCTCTAGCCAGGCTTACCAAGAAGCAAAGAGAGAGGACCCAAATAAACAAAATAAGAAATGATAGAGGCGAAATAACAACAGACCCCACAGAAATACAAATGATTGTTAAAAAATACTATGGACAACTCTATTCCAACAAACTAGACAACCTGGAGGAAATGGACAAAATCCTAGAAAAATACAACATTCCAAACTCAATAAGAAAGAATATAAAAATCTCAATAGGCCAAAAGCTATGGAGGAAATTGAAGCAGTCATCAAAAAGCTTCCAGCAAACAAAAGCCCAGGACCAGACGGCTTCACAGGGGAGTTTTACCAAACATTCAAGGAAGAACTAAAACCTATTCTCCTCAGACTACTACAAAAAATTCAAGAGGAAGGAACACTTCCAAGCTCATTCTATGAAGCCAGCATCACCCTGATACCAAAACCAGGTAGAGACAACACAATGAAAGAGAATTACAGGCCAATATCTCTCATGAACATAGATGCCAAAATCCTCAACAAAATCTTAGTAAATCAGATCCAGCAGTACATCAGAAAGATCATACACCATGACCAAGTAGGATTTATCCCAGGGATGCAAGGATGGTACAATATCCCCAAATGAATAAAGATGATACATCACATAAACAAATTGAAAGAAAAAAACCACATAGTCATATCAATTGATGCAGAAAAAGCATTTGACAAAATCCAACACCCATTTTTGATAAAAACTCTCAGCAAAGTGGGAATAGAAGGATCGTACCTCAACATCATAAAAGCCATATATGACAAACCCACAGACAACATCACACTCAATGGACAAAAAGTAACACTATTTCCCCTAAGAACAGGAATAAGACAGGGATGCCCACTCTCACCACTCCTGTTCAACATAGTACTAGAAGTATT